TGCTCGGGCTGTTGCCGGCCCTACGGCTGCTACTGCCTTCCCCGCCGCCTTTGTCCCCCCCCCCCCCCCCCCCCCCCCCGCCCCCCCCCCCCCCCCCCCCCCAAGCCCAATACTCGGGTACGCCGCGCATTCGAGCGCATATCGCTTGCCGCCACTGTATCATGACGTTCCCCCAAACTCCTGCTTGCAGGAATGCAGCGAGAATGCCCAAAAGCGGAGCACGGGTGCATGCCCAAATGTGGAGCTAGCACCGCCATGTAAGAAGCTGCGGCTGCGTTCAGCGAGCGGTATAGAGAACCTCTCCGTAAACCCCTGTACCAGCAGGCGGGCACAACCTCGACTTGTGGCTCTAGGCTGGATGCCTGGTACATCGACTCCACCCATCACAATGGAGTGCACGACAACGATTACTCCTCCGGCATAAGGCCGGGTGCCAGTGACCGCACTCTTCTATACACATAGGGCAGTACGTTGAACATAGTAGGTTATGTAGTCATACAGATAAGTACAGTCTCTTGTCGCCGAGCCTCCCGTGGCGCGTCACCAGGGCCGCACACCCGTCAACCCTCGAGTGTGTGTGTCAACCGACATGACAGTGGGGGTCCTGCAAGTCTGTATGCGTGCTTCGTCGGTTGCTACCCGGCGGTTTCGTCCGCGTTCTGCGACGGAAGACGGGCATTCGATTCGCGGGCGATCGACCGCAGGATTTCAGGAGCACAGCGACTGAGGAGCATCCTGCACAATTCTGGCACTCTGAACTTTCGCTCTTCCAATAGTATCCAAACAGCGAGACGACATCCTTCGAGGTCCTTCTCCAGCTCTGCCGCGCTCCGTGAAGTCTCGGTTGAACTGATCCATGGAACCACATCGTGCAAGTCATTGCGGACTCCTGGCTCCCTAGCCTTCGCCCGTGCGCGTGAGTGGATATTACAAGGCGCACCGGCCTCTTCCCTGTATCTGGTGAGTAACCACAAAGCTGCTGTGTGGCCGAAGACACCTACTTCCCCGGCGATGATGAACTAGGGATCTCGCAAGACCATTGACAAAGTGATCGGTGGCACGAACAGCGTTTGTCCACAGTGTAAGTATTGTGTGGCCATCCGTTGCAAGTTTGCTCTTTCCCATCACTTTCGATAGTGGTAAACTCCGCACATCGTCTTTTCCTTCCATCACTCGTAGGCAGCGGGGTGATCCTGTGCCCGGCATTACCGACATCTCTGTTCTGTGCAATCGCTTCTAGGCCGGCCGATTCCATCAGTCCCGGATTCTTTTTGCGCTGCGACTTTGCGCTCTTGCCAGAACCGTTCCTCCCGGCAGACATCACTCGGCTCGGACCCAGGAGCGGTGACCCCGGAGAGCTGTTGTACATCTGCGCCACGATGCTTGGCCGGTACTCTTCCTCGCTGCCGTGTTCGCTCTTCACGCTGCAAGTCCCGTCGAGCGGTTCTGACGATGTAGATAGACATCGCTCTGTTCTCGGGCGAAAAGCCTGATCTGGAACCGCGCAGGATTCGTCATGGCGAGGAGTGTCGAGCATACTACTATTGATCGAAGTATGGCTCGCTGTACTACACCCATCCAGTGATGTAGACGAAGCGTGTGACATTTCTGGTAGTGGATCTGTCTACACGAAAACTACGATGACGAGAGAACAATGGGATAGTTGTATCTGAGCGAACCGCAGTCGATTACAAAGACACCTCGCTCGAGCGCGTTCACAAGCATGTTCCAAACACGAAACTCATGTCCCCTTCGAGTATGCATTCCTCTCTGTATGACTGGACTCTTCCATCGCCTGAGCGAAGTTCGCCCCCCATGCTGTGAATGGTCGTTGTAGATGTAGCTCGTTGAGACGTATGAAACTGTAGACAACCAATCAGCATCAGGGCAGACGATGAATCTAAACACTTTCGCCAGTAAGATACCGTTAGGCATGCCGATGTGCACCGAGGGGTTGGGCCATAGCCATGGAGGACCTTGACCAAAGCGGTCCATCCTCGTGGATGCTCTTGCGTCCGCAGTAGGAACCAGTCGTGAGCGACCCAGCCTCGAAGATGGATCGAACGGACGAATCACACCTGCGCTTCTGGCGTGAGACTATGCGGGTGGTTTCCAGGATCGTGCTCTAGCCTGCTGAGCGAGCGTGCATGACAGACGAGGGGCGCGGGTTGAGTCGTGCTTGCGCAACCGAGCTCTCCTGGCCCTTAAATAAGATGACTCTGGGACTGCTTCCTGTCTTTACACCTATGCTCCGTACTCGCACGATGCGGAGCTTGTCACCACGACCACAAATGGAACATCAACTATCTCTGAGTGCGTCGATCACGGACACCCTGACAGACTTCTGGCGGCTGTCTCGAACGCCTCCCTATCTCTTCCTCCTAGTTGTGGTCCCGGCGACGGCGGCGTTCTTATGCTGGCGGATCCACTACCGACGAGCCCTTCCATCCGTATCTGTTTCACGAGAGACCAAGACTGCCCGCTTCGCATTCCCCGGCCTCCTGGGCTTGATTATTGCACTGGATGTGCTCATCATCTATGGATCCGACAACATTACGTGGACAGAAGCCGTAATCAGGTACGGGATCGTTGAGTGCGTCCAGGCAGTTGTGGGCATTCCCCTCTACGCCGTCTGGAGCGCAACGCAGCGGCCGGTTCGCGACTCACCTTCATTGGGTACTCTAGACGCAAATGTTGCGTTGCATGAAAAGAGCGTGGTCGATCCGGATACGTAATGAAGTCAAAGGGGGAGGTGTATGCTGCGAGTGGACATGAGGGCGGCGTGGCGTGGAGAGACCTCGGCTGGCTGGACTATCGTGGAAAGGGATGGAATGATGGGTCGATCTTTGTATCGGGCTTTACACAATCTTTACTCGAAGACCATGGCTGTTGAACTTCCTCATTGGTACGAGATAATCAAACTTTGGCATCACATCGCTCACGGTAGTGGCGAAAGGTGCCATGCAAGGCATGTTGGGACCAAACATTTCAGCCAGAATCTTCACGATTGCTCCTTTTGCGAGCCTGTGATCATGATCAGCTCCGGCTTGTGCTAATTGATGTATTCGCTCACCTTTGTCCGGGGCAATCGCGAGAACCCGCCGACCATGGTCTGAGGCTCAGGTGCATTTCTCGCGTACACCCTTCCAGCCATCGCTCTGGCTGGAAGAGATGTGGCTGCGAAAAGACTGAAGCGTCGGTATGCAGGCAGTGAGACGAAATACTGACGGCCGTCTGAGGTCGACGTTGTGAGCGAAGTCTGACAGCTATGGCAGTGGTCCACGACTTACTCCCGCAGGTATGACCCATCCGTCGTAGACGATCGCAGTGTCAACGGCACATCGGGCGGATCGATGCAGAGTGCCGTACGTCATGCTGTTCCCGAACTGTCAGCCGAAGACCCGACTTCGCTGTCATGGTGAAGCCGACCGTAAACATTCGCTCACTACCGCTTGAAGATAGAGATTCTTCTTCAACGTCGACAGGGGCGGCGGGAGGCCGGAACCCGGCTCTGCACACTCTCGCAGAGATGATCGAAGCCGATGCTGTATGTCAGCGCTCTGCAAGATGTGGAAGGTGGCAACACAGAGCGCTAGGCTGATCGCCCCTACACCGCTCACGAAAGTGACCACTAGGTCGCTTGCTACGCACTGCTTTGTGTCGTGCACGCTGGGGGAACCGCTTGCGAACAGGTGTTCGGCAAGTGTGTCCTTGACAGCCGGACCGCACTGCTCATTTCGACCAGCTGCGTGCTGCTCGCTGACCGCATCGGCCTTCTCGCGAAATGACTGTGACGGTCAGCCACCGACGTGGTGTGAGGATGATCTGGCGCCTACCACGAGGATTTCTTCGTGCCGAGCCACAAAGAACGGCCGGGGAAGGGAGAGCAGGAGCCTACGGTGGGGTCTGGTGTTAGCTTTACGCCGCCAGTCACAGCAAGATCGTTCAGCAACACACTTGCGAAGTCCCGGAAATTCTGCGTAGAGGACTGATGCCCGGAAGTATGCCCTGACGGCCTCGAACCTGGGACAACTGTGTCAGCATCTGAGGGCTGACCGCAGCCTCTGCTGACGAACCAATAGCTCGTTCCATATTGCGCGTCGGCCCCGGCAATATCCTTGGGGAACGAAAGTGCCGACAGGATGTTTGCTGATAACGTCGTGTACATGTTTTCCATCCCCACCGGCTCCATCGATTCCAGCATGTCTCGGAAGCATTCAATGAAGACCTCGATCTGCGGATCCAGCACTCGCGTCTCGTACTGCTCTACACGACGAGCATTGTAGAACCGATCCACGGGGCGTCTTCGTTCGCGGTGCATCTCGTGGTCAAGCGTCAGGGAGTGCGCACCTGGGCAGCGTACTTAGCAAGGCACGGTGATGGCAGCACCCGACCTACCATCTAGTCCGATCCCAGTCCGAGAGCCCTCGGGTATGGTGGTTCGCCGCTTAGCACTTGCTGCATAGATGTTGTCATAAAAATTGGCGTCGGCGATGTGGACCTCGTTTGGAGCGATGCGAATGATCCGTCCTGGCGACACTGTCAGTCCGTCCGCCCACTCAGGTAAGATGGCATACCATATTTTTCGTGCAATCGTGGGAGTCTCCTGTAGTACTGCCGAGTCATGAGATCATAGAGGATCTCGAAGAGCCTCGAGGCCGCCACGTGCTTCGGTCCCGGGAACCCGGCTAGAGGGTGGAAGTAGAGCCGGTAGAGTACTGTTTTCACACACCAGATGACGAGCACCAGCGCAAACGCTACGAGCTGGTGCCGCCCGGTCGAGATCCAAGCACAGAAGGCCAACAGCATAACGAAAACCGTTCAATTCGAAGGTATACCTGTAGCTGATGGGGGCTTTGATCGCACGACAGACCGGCGGCGGATGTCATTCTTTTGACTTGATCCATTCCTCAACGTCGGCATCACTCGCCGAGGTCTGGCCGCTCAACCAGGTGGCGATGGAGCAAGTGCCGAATTGACGAGCATTCTGGTACAGTGGATGCAATCTTTTCGGCATCTACCATGCTGCCCGGTATTCGATTCCCGCGAAGCCCGGGTGCGTACAGACGCGTCTTACGTATGTCGATGCGCAATATTGCGCGCAGTGCGCAGCGGGCTCCCCAGTTCAGCATCACGTGATATGCTCGACATTCACTGATGCTCAGGTCACGTGATACTGTGCATGGATATCGCAGAGAGGTCACGTGAGATCGCGTCGCAAGGCGTGGAGGCAAATTGGATCGATCAAGGTATGCCCGCGATTGGTGGCAAAGGCTACGGCAGCGCGCCAAATCGACGTACAATTATGATGGGTCCCGGGTTCATAGGCTATCGCAGTCTTAGAAATCCAGAAGGCTTTCCGCCGATGATCGTCGGTTGGTCGCGGCCCTCGTCCACCAGTGCTCCGATCGACTGTGCTTGAGATATTCGACCTCATTCCTGTTGTTCAAATGTTTATCCTACTCGAGCCGTAGTGATATCCAGTTACGGCCGCTGAGACGGACCAAGTGGCCATCGTGGTCTCGCCTGCGAGGCCCCCGGAGCATCTGACGCACCGGACTTCTGGCGGTTGTTGACGGACGGACGTTCACCACATGGCGAGCTTCCTGGCGATAGCTTCCCAGAAAACGCAAAGCGCAGCGGCGCGGACTGCACACACCGTCGAGTTTGGGAACTTCCTGAAAGACGTCTCTGGATTCGAGCATGGACTGGACAGTGCAGGGCGTTCGATCAGCACGCCGACGGCTACTGTCGAGCGGAAGGGGTGGGTGCGCTGTTCATAAGTAACGGTTGAGAGATGCAAGATGCCATGGGGATACCACATACGGTACGCACTCGCTGCGCCCTTCACTCCGCATGCTGACCCCGTGTAGGCATCGTCGCTGCGTCTGTGTTCCCAGAGCAGCGAGCAGACGGGCATTAACGTGCCGAGTGTCGCGTCTCTGTCACGACTGATGTCAGACGTCTGCCACCGCGCTAAAAAGGCACAACATGAGGTTGTCTACATCAAGGCGCATGGGACCGGGACTGCTGTTGGCGACACTGGAGAGTACCACAGCATTCGAGACGTGTTCGGTGGGCCAAAGCGCCAGCGCCAGATACTGATCTCTTCATGCAAGGGTCTCATCGGCCGCGCTGGGGGGGATTGGTTGCATCAAAAACCAAACTGATGCTATTGTACAAACAAGTTCCCTGCAGCCCAGCTTCGGTACCCTCAATCCCTCCTTCGGCGCCTCGCTCAACGACAAAATCGGTATTCCCAGGTGATTGTGTCCTTAGAAGCTACCACGAACAGCGGTGGTAAACAACTAAGGTGCTTCTGGGTCCGTTGGCTCCATCGCCCTGTGAGGGGATGCAGCCGTGGTGGAACGAGCCCCACGCGGGCTACCGCACGAAAGACAATCATCCTATCCTTTCAGAGTCTTTGCCAGTAGTGGGAAGGCTTTGCGAGCGCGGTTACAACAGCTGCTGACGTACGTTCGTGATATGCGACCGGGCCACAGTCTTACAATCGCTAGCCCCTCGTATCACGTCTGTCGAGACGGGGATCCGAGCTCAATCGAGAGCACGACCTTCTCGTGCACAACATTGGCTGACTTTCAAGAGATGACAGAACGTCTCGTCTCCGGCGCCACTGGCTGATTGTCAGAGATCCTATGCATCGATCCAGTCCGGGGATATCTTCAAGGATTTATTCACCTCTACCACGGACTCGCTCGTGTCACTGCACGTTAGATTCTAGATAGGTATCAGACGTGTGGATGCTCACCACCACGACGTATAAGCAAGTGAAACAGCGACTGCTTTTCCGCCACTTAGAATAGACATCGTTGCCATTCGTCGCCCAGACGCGCAGCTTGGACTCCAAGATGTATCAAAGAGTTTCTCGTGCTGTGGATGCTGTGGGATAGTGTATACCACAGGGTGACTTCTACCCTCACTCTACGTTGCGGGGTCCTCACAATCCACTATCGAAGAAACGTCCAGGATCCGACGCTTGTTGGACGACATGTATGCGTTGCGGTTGTGTGAAGCTACATTCTCCCACCACACCCAACGGGTCAGCCCGTCGACAGCACCCGGATCCGCCAAAGTGTCTTGTATCCACTTTACAATAGTTATTTGAACTACATCGTGTCTACGCGCCCTCTCTGTCTGTGCCAACGTACTCCATGTATGGCATTCGCGGGTCGAGCAAGGGGTGCAGCAACGCTGGGCGGCACGCGTTTCCATCCTCGAGGCGTGTGTGTGTGCGTGCAAATTGATAATGTATTCGAATAAGATATACACTTCGGTACACCGTACCTCTTTTCGCTGTCCCCGCCGTCTCTACGACCACTTTCCAGTGCTCGGACTGAAGAAGAGCGAGATGCCCGGGACGCCTCGAAAGATGGTCGCAGATCCCGCATTAGCACATGCATTAGTCCAGATGCAAGATGACTTTGTGCTCTATTTCATGACGATATCATGCCAGAATGGGTCCAGCCACGCTCTGTCACCCAGAAAGCCCACTCCAGCGCCTGATGGCCCCCTTGCATCACTCCGACGGCGTAGACCCGGACAATATCCACTTCGCGAGGCTGTGCACTCATTCCTGTGATCGTCCACGGGGATGTTTGACGTGGTGCCTCTTGTTCATGTGTGCTGGTGTACCTCCCCATCGCTGAGAGCATTAGTCATGATAAGAACATCACCTCTAGAATCGCAGCTTTCTGGAAAGGAGTGAAGTCCTTCACCGTCTCCATATAAAGTCTGGATACTAGTGCATTCGCGGAGCGCGTTGTGAACCGGTAAGTGAAGTGGTTGCCGTAAGGGATTGACGGCACGCCCAGCCAGGCGAGCAGACCCTCGAACCTGCATCGTCCCATGACGCCTGAGTGAGCCCGCGGCGGTCTGTCGATGAACAGACGTTCGTACGCACTGGGCAGGCTGATCAGAGCGGCATAGATGTCTCTCACAGCAGCCGAGGTCAAGGACAGATCGTGACAGAATCGCGGCTGGTGTGGTATGGCACTTTCGGCTATCGCGCGCATTTCCAGCCAGCAACTCGCCCTGATATTCTCGGCGAGTGCTCTGTAGGCGGATTTCTCACGCTCCAAGCCTGCTAAGCCTGCTTTATCGCCGCGTTCCATACACTCGGCGACGAAGCACCCTTGCAAGTCTATCCAGTTTCGATCGAGTTCACCACGTTGTCCACGCGCAGCCGACCGGATGAAGGCAAAGTCCCGGGTCGCGACCCCAGCTAGCTTGACTGCACACCGTCGTCCTGCAGAGACTATCTTTGCTTCTCGCGCATGTCGGGTCTCCATCTGCCGCGTGTGCAATGCCATGGACAGGATACGACTTGCTGACTTGAAGCACCAAGTGGCAGCCCTCAGCGCGGAGCCGCTAGGCAGATGTTCTTCCCGGACATACTTTTCGTGTACGTAGTAGGTGCAAAGCTTCCACCAGGTAACCGCCCTGGTCTCATTGTCTTCGATCAGGCCGTAATGTGAAACGTAGCGCCTGAACAATTCGGCGAAGCTCACGGCAGTGATATCGACCAGATTCGAATGATCTCTCGTCAAGCGGTCCTGTTCCAATGCGATCGCCGGAGACGCAATCGCCCTCTCGTTCGTGTCGCTGAACGCCTTGAACCTCTTGCTCAGCATCCGAATCCTGTGCATCTCGCCGCCAGGAAGACGTGAGCAGATGTCGATCAAGAGCTCCGCCGGTAGTGCCGACAGGTGATCTCGCGTAGAGGAGCTTCTGGAAGGCAACATCTTTAGCCGTTGAGCGAGAAGCGCAATGAGTATTGTGCGAGTGCCGGCTCGAGCGTGTGTGGTGTCTTGCCGCATCGATGGGAATCAGTACTATGGTTGCTCGAGAGCGATCTTATGTCAGTGCCGCTGCCGTCGGTAGTCACTGGCCTTCACATGGAAATCCTTCCTAAACTGTCCTTTGTAGCGTAGACGAGATGGGCGGGCGCGTGATCGAAGCGCGGTTTGCGATACCATTGAGTATTGGTACCGCGATGTGGAGTCGAGGAATCGGCGGGACACCGAAAGTGGCCTTGTGGGAGTGTCTCGACTGGTACGGGGAGGGTAGACAAGGTATGAGTGGGGAAGGGGGTCTCGATTCTGTGGGTACTCGGCAGGTCATACGAGTGAACTGAACAGGACTGTGGACTGTTTTACTCAAGGCTTCGACAAGGCCGGCCTCATCAATGATCCCCTGCGGAACGTTGCCCGGCCGAGTAGCGGCAGCTACAAGAGTTGTCCGCATTACACGCGCTGTCATGAAGTTGCTCGTTGCGAGCACCGGGGCCGGGTTACTTTCGAGTGTACTCGGACTACTGATGGGCGGGCTGGTGAGCTATGCCTGCATCGGGATGACGTGGCAGGGTCAATAGCGTGGCCCATGCCCGCGGCTAAGGTGGACGATGCTGGGCGAGAAGGCATAAAGCCTTTGGCAGTATGCGAATTAGTGTCAACGTAAGGAAGCTCAGGCTCACGTACCAGAGCTGGAGAGCCGGACACATGACACATCGCGAGGGGTGACTGCAGAGTAGTCTTGGACAGCGCATTTCTCACAGACAGTTGACGCAGAAACCAGCCAACGGGCCGTGTTTCTTCTGTCTGCGGTCGATGACCACAGTCACTATCGGCCGCATACTAAAAGCATCTTCAACGACCCTCATTTCGGTGTTGCCACGGATGTCCAACTGGCAAGGATAGCCGTCTTCATTTTTGACCGGAATGGTGTTGTGTGCTGCATCTCCCTCCTGTACTTCTGCAAAACGCCTCATGGGGTGAGGTCTAAAAGCTCGCAGCAAGTTTACGCGAGTGTGAAATACACTTACATTCCAGATATCACTTTCGTAAATGTACAACATAGAGTATGGGGCCATAGGTATTGGAAGGGCCCGTATGCGCGATAAGTGACAGGGAGGAAAACGCTTTCGTGGCACGGGGGATGTCGTGTGCTTCTCTGACATACTTCCCACCCAACTGTTTTATCACATCTCTTTTATCGGGTCGAGGATGAGCATTTACATGCCGGTGGGCTTCAAGTGGAAGCGAGAAGAGTGTTACGGGTACGCAACGAAAAGTGGAAGGTGTTCTTGGAGGCAGAGCGCAGCTTTGTCTGTGTCCTGGTGTCTTCCTCGACCATGTCGGTGTCGCCTTTCATCCATTCTGTGTGGGTGAGCAGCGCGACATAGCTCATCACCACTCCACATACGACACCTTCTTCTCCTTAGCGGCGATCGGAGAGCTGCGATCAACTGGTCTCGTTTGCTTCTCTGCCGGTCTGCTCCCGATGCGGCACGAGATCAACCTCCATCGCAATGGTGAGAGCGTCGAGCGTCTCGCCGCTTGATTCGTCGATTTCTTCCATTCCGGACAGCAATCAGGAGCCTCTCATCAACTGCTTCTGCCAGGTCAAGAGCGGATCTCAAGGTACATCAGTTGCGCGACCTTCTGGTCGATCTGGGTCGTCCGGACCGCGGTAGGCTGCGGGTTTGTAATCCGGCCCTCTACCAAAGAGTCAGATGCCGGAGGCTGGCTCGTCGTCAAGAGGCCGAGGATGCTGAGCGGAGGTCCATGAAATAATTGCATCAATCGCACCGTCTCCACATCTCAGGCGTAATCATCCTTTCCGAAGGCGGCCAGTACTCCCGTTCATCGTGTCGGCGTCCTGTCCCACACCCTCATCAAGCTCATGTTCATTCTCATCATCATCCTTGTAGACCTGCGTGTACCCTTGCTTCAACTGCCTCCTTCGAAGTCGTTGCTTTAACCGAGAACCAGCCCAGTACAACATAGCGAAGACACAGCATGTCAAGATACCAGCAACGTAAGCCATCAGCTTCGCATGCTGTCCGACTAACGGCAACCCTTCCCAGTCATCAGCTGGGGACGAAAAGCTCGGCAGCTCTGGGTCGGGGCTTGGTGGGTACAACTGGCCTTGAGCGTCGTATGACAGGTCGACTGCTATGTTAGGGACGTGTGCGTCAAGCCACCGCTGCTCTTCGGTGAACTGAGCTGCGTTGCGATCTGTCGGTATCGTTTCCACGACCTTGGACTGGCCGAGTGGTTCGCCTTTGGCACCGATGGCTTCGACTATGACAGCGTGAATGTACCTGCTGCCTGTTAATAGATGAGCACAATCATTAAGACGCAGGACAGGCCCACCCTTCTAGCTCCACGCTTGTCTCGAACCCTTTTTTCTTGACTGACCTTATCAGCTTTCCCTTACCTCCCTGGTCGGCTCGATATACGCTCCATTTCACGACATCTGTAGCACCGTTCCAGCTCACATACACTTGGGTCGTATATCCCTTCAAGCCCTGCTCCTTCACGCGTGAGACCACATCAGGAGAATCGACGGGCCGGCCAGTCCACGGCGCTTTGTAGCTCCTGTAAGTGTTTTTCCGCGGGGGCAATTTGGCCTTCATCAGTAGCTTCCCCTCTGCCGAATGCTCGGAGATCCGACTGTGAAAGGTCCAGCCAATGAATACATTCCCGTTCGGCATGATCTCCAAGCTTCCTCGAGAAGTCGAGTACTCGTGGTCCGGACGAGGATATTCTGCTACCATCTGTGCCTTGTCGGCATGCAAAGACAGGATCAAGCCTCTGGTGCAGTCGTGCGTGGCAGTCTGGATGCCTTCGCCTCTTGCATTGTCGAAAAGAGTGAGCACCGTATGAGTCGCGTTGGATTCAAGGATTCGAGCGTGATGCTGCCGTGAGAACTTTGCTTCGCCCACGAACTTGAAGTCTGAATTGGTCCCCCCGAGGCGCCAGAGTACCGAACCGCTCTCACGAGAGATTTTGTAGAGTGTATCTGTATGCCGGCAGGAGACGAGGTAGTCACCGTTGTCAAAGCGGTCGATGGCGTTGCAATGATTAGCATCCCATCCTTCCTTGCACTCCTTCTTCACGTCCAGCTTGGTCGGATAGGTGATCTCGTCCAGCGACATATGGTCGATCCAGCTCCAGTTGAATAGTGGGATCGGCGAGTCTCCGCTGATGTCGAGTTCCAGAAGACCGTCTGTGTTGATCGAGCACTCTCCATCGTAGCCTATCACCTTGCTCTTCTCTGTGCTCGCGTGGTGCATCTCCCTGGTCAAGACCGCCACCTTCGCACCTTCGTCAAATACGCTGAACTCGTGCATATTCGCTGCATCGGAACCGCCGGGCCACTGCACCATCTTCCTGATCTGGTAGCTATTATCGACAATGACCCCAGCGTCTTCTCGCTTGTAGATGGCAGTGAACATATTCTGTTCATGAATCTCAACTGGGCGGAAGTCGAAGACGTTGAAGCTGTCGAACATCGGCGCTCCACTCCAGACCAGCTCGCCCTTGCCATTGTAGATATATGGCCCGATCCACTTGGCACCGCGTTCTTTCTGGCCGAGAAGCTCATAAGGCGCTACGAACCAATACCCAGGCGCGACAGCTCTCTCGTCGTACTTTTGGATGGACCACTTGAAAGCTCGGATGTCCGGGCGTGTGACGAAGTGGAAGTAGTCTTCTTCGGTTGTGGTGTCTTCGCCGCCATGGCCATTTGCCCGCTCCTCTATCTCTAGGGCAGGTAGCGTCCTCCCAACATGCTTGTGCGAGAGGGCGAATGTAAAAGGCTGCAGCGCCCATACGCCGAGCACAACGTTGCACCACATCTCTTTCGACTGCTGCTAGTAGTGCAACAAGTCTGGCGAGGAAATGGAAACGTACAGTAACAAGACCTTTCACACGAGAAGAGGGTAGGGTCGACGTCACCTAAGGGAAGAGGACTCACGGCAGGCAGCTGACAGACACGAGGCTCTTGGCCTCACACCAGTACCTGAGTATGGATATCCCCCGGTCCTTTTCCACAGTCCACGAGCAGATAGATCACCTACATCGAGCGCGAGGGCTCAAGCGGCGCAGCCCCAACGGTAAGCTAGACGGACCAGTCAGCGTCGCCTAAGCGAGCAGGGCGAGCCAGAGCGGTGCTTCCGCGAACAAACCGCTGTGCTTGATCCAGCGTCTGCGTGCAGATGATGTGCTCAAGGACGTCGTGTCAGATCCAACCCGAGCCGTTTGCGAGATTTCTTGCTGCCCCACTAGTAGCCATATCCTATAGGATTTGTAATTTGAGAATGGAACTGGACGTATAACCAAGCTTCTTTAAGGAGTCACTTAATAGGCAAACGAAGGTAAGGATGCTTACTAAAGCTTAATTGGTTGTAATATAAACGAAACACAAGACTAGTTCTTGTAGCTATAAGGTCCAAGCCTTAGTGTCTAACTAGGTAAATATCTCAATTATCTTTTTGATTCGCCCGTACGGTGCCACGAAGCCGTTGAGATGTAGCTGATAAGTCTGCCAAGTCCATCAACGCAGATCGCGAAGTCTATCGACATACCCACCCATACTCATCTACCACCCACTGACAAAACGCCTCCCACTGGCGAGCATAGATTCCCTTCGCAAGATGGATCTCGCCCGGACTCAGACAGCTATGCTCCAAGCTCCACTCAGCGAGTTGCTTCCACCCATGGATGTTCATACGCGGATCTCCCACCATAACCTGGTAGAACTCATAGGAGAGAGTCGAACTGAGGGTGAGTTTGTACTCGTCAGCGCATTGGTCGAGCCTTTCAACGCCACACAGGTTTGGGGAAAGGCATACCTAAAGAGCGCAGGGTTGTCGGCGTTTAGAGTGCAATGCAGTCCGGCAGCGAGAAGCTGTGGGTATGGATGCTCACGGGCGTTACCACAAAGGTGCAAGAGCTCATTAGAGATGGGACAGAGTTCGAGACAGATGTTTTGTTTTTTGTACTTCTCCACGAGGTGAGGATGTTTGAGGAGGGCATAGCCGTGGCCGATGCGCTTGGCGTTAAGGAGTAGGGCATCGTAGAGATTGCTGTCATCCGGGTCGGAAGACCCACCGGTGTCGAGGAGAGTCTCGCCGGCGTGGAACATGAATGGGATGCTGATCTTCAGCTCTTTACACCTTTGTTGGAAAGCAAGTAATACGTCGGCGTAGAACTTGATGCAATTCGGTCGGTCTTCTGCGCCGACCAGGTCGAAACCGCAGATCAAGTCTGGGAACTGGAGTTTGAGCCAAATGCAGTCTTCGAGTTCGGTCTCCATCTCCGCAAGCGATATGCTTCGCGGCGTGCAATAGATGATCTTGATGCCAAAGGGGAATTTGTCGAGCTCATTCCTGGCCTCTAGCTCTTTCCGCTTCTTGATGATCTCTCCGCAGATGATGCTCATTTGTTCCTTCAAGTCGAGCTTACGAAGACCGTCAGTTGACGGTATCGCCTTATCAAACAGCATAGGTCGCAGCTCGGCATACATGACATTGTCCTCAATCATGTTGTCGATTGCACGGCCAATGTACCAGCGATAACCACTTTCATAGCCGACCAAGCCCTTCAGAGCTCGCGTGCTTTGGTTGAAGTATGCCCAGGAGCTGTTGTGAGTAGTCGTGTGTCCGTACGTGTGTTCGACACTGATGACCATCTTCGACCGCGCCCATCGCCCGGCGGCGTCGAGATTTTCAGGTCCGGTAGGTGCCACACGCTCTGGAAACGACTCGCGAAACACTTTCCAGAGCATCCACGGAGAGTTTTCGGGATCCTCGGTATCTCGATTGTATGATGAAGAGAAACAGTCCGCTGAGACGGTCTCTTTCGGGAAGACGTTGAAGACGATCTCACAATTTTGAAAGTTCTCGGGGTTGGTCAGAGGTAGCGTACTGCGAATGAACATCGTGTCCTGCACTTCCGGTGTCTGCGCGTGCCCCAATAGTTCTTCCGGTGGTAGCGCGGTGTTGAAATGGATGTGTTGATGAGCGCCTTTCGGCATACCGCGGGCAATGGCCATGACGGTGCTCATGTCGATACTTGGCCGATTCACAAGGAACTGACCGCCCGAGTCCCGAGACCGCGGTTCAGGGACAGCCTCACCAGGCAGATTGCCAAAAAGGCTTCGATCTCTGCTTTCGTTCTTACGGAGCTCGTCGATGATTTCTCCAACTTTTTTTTCGGCTGGAGAAGCAGTCGACATGGCTTCTGCGTACCATGGCTGGCTCTCCTGCAGTAGTTGCTTGCGACTACGAGAGTAATGATGCAATCGATCAGCGCTTGGGCTCGCATCGGACAACTTTCTTGCTTCTCGTTTTGCACCATCGTTTGGCTCTAATGCTGGGTCGACCGGTTCCGGGACTGCAGCAGAAGGCAAAGGCTGCAGTGGATAGTTTTCGGGGGACGTGGGTTGTCCGTCAGCGGAAGCGCCATCGATCCTGTCCATGTCGTGCTAACTGCTGCGCAGCCTCGTGAGTAGGGCTCGGGTCCTGACTGCGGTAGGATAGATTGATAGGTCCTCGTCGTTGCCTGAAGAGGTAGGACGCTCAAAGAAGGCAGTCGGTGTAATATTTGCTCGTATTCACAATGGAATGGTGTTGTGAAGAGTGCATCGACGCCTAGCATGAGCGAGGGCCGAGTGGGATATATACGAACGATGACTGTCGGACTGTCGGCACTGACTACGGTCCCGCCATATGCGCTAGTCACGTGGCTTCTATACCGAAGGCCTGGCGGCCTCAGGAAGCCTACCGCAGCAATCTCCTGGGCATCGTTTAGCTCCACCAGAGAGGCAGTGTCTTTGCATGATCGAGTGATGAGTAGCGCTGTATCGTCGCACTCAAGCAGACCAGAGCATTAAGTCTCTCTCATGCGGAGCTACCTGCGGGGCTGTAAAGTTCAATGACACACTGCACTGTGCACTTTGAAGCACGCCCGTAAGGCATCAGAGTCTACCAAAGCACTGCGCACGGAGAAGCAGAAGCAGATCGGAACCGCTGCTAGAGCGTGACTTTCTTGTCGTCGGCCTTCGAGCCTTCGCCACGGCGGTGGAACGGCATAACGGCACAAGAGAGCATGAGCATTGCGGCAAGCCTTTTACTGTAACACCATCGAACGAGCGCCTCGAAATTTGAACAAGTTCTGGAGCATGGATGGAGGTGCTGTGTGTTCGCCGGTAGGTGTGAAGCCCAGGGCGGCCGCATGAATTGATGCGGTCGACCTGGGTCGCCCTCTTTGGTAAACGAAACTGACATCTCGTCCCAGTTCAGAACTTCGTGTCAAGCACCTCTGCCACTGACTAACGTACCCTCGGCGACATGAATTGCAACAATCATTCCGCCCCGCGCACCATGCCCGTAGACTCGTGAAGTACGATTCGGTGCTGTCTCGTCGCATGTGGGTCTGCCTTCGCCTCCCGGAAATACCATCGCCGTTACGGCCGTGTTATCTTTCTGTATCGCTTGTTGGATTCCAGCTCGCGCCGTAGCTGCCGTGGCCAAAGGTGGTGCTACGACCTCATGAGTTGACCGAGTCCCTTCAATTGGGAGTCTGGTGTTGTAGATATGTAGCTTCTTCCCTCTGGTTCTCTGGCCATACTTTTGGGGAAGTCGGTGTGTGCGACGTCTTGGACTGTTCACATGGCATGAACACGAGGGCAGACTCGAAGTGGCTGTCACTCCATTGTTGGGTGCAACCGCCGCGCATCATCAACGTCCAACCTCTCGTTTGGACATCGTGCGCCGCTGCGTCCCCTCCGTACTGCTGCCAGATCTCATCTGCTGGCGAAGCGCCCTCCGGGCGATCCACGACGCTTTGTCGATCTTTGCGGTCTATGTAGACAGGGAGGTGCTAACGCGTACGGGGATGTCATAACGTCCACGGCGGCTGCATCTCAGGTAGTTTCCTAGTGGCGACAACTCGGGGAAGGTCGTTTAGCTCCTTCCTCCATGCTAGTCCGGCCAGGGGTGCGATCACCAATGGCGCCGATCAGCAATCATGCATGAAGAAAGGCGGTCGGTGGAGGAAGCAGACTCATATAGGTGACAACGCCGCCGCAGTCCTCCATCACTGATAGCCACGATCCAACTTGATCGCATTGGCTTCGACTCACTCGGCTCTGGTGGGTCGATACTCCATGCAACGAAAAGCCTCCCCGAACCTTTTCATCTGCTTCTGCCGCTCATTGACGGAGCCTCGGCGATTCGTTTCACAGTCATTGGGGGGAAGAATGACCTGGAACGCTGTGGTATACCATCAGGTCTGAGCACCGAACAATTACAACCGCTGTGGTCGATAGCCCATTCAGACATCCGAGCTCGTCACCTCCGCACGCGAATAGTGCGAATTAGGTCCGGTCACTGCAGCCTCTACCTCCTCAGAGGACATCTTGAGCAAGCAATATTCCACTGTGATGTCGCCGTCGCGTTACCAGACAAGATCGCTGGATGACACTCTGGTGTCCTATAAGCGCGCGATGCCACCCAGTCAACACAAGCCTCCTTCCCGGGGCCACGTGCACTGAGCACGTGGCCTGGGCGCGATTCCACCTTGGCAAAGGCTGGCAGCGCCCATCTGAACAACAACTGTCACGGAATAATGCAGCGAGGCATAGCCCTGTACTCGTGACTACGGACGAGGACGCCGGCCAGACTTCGGAGTGGGAAGACTCAAGCGATTACAGAACTCCACCCGCATGAATGCGCCTTTCCAGCGTTTGGCATTCACATCGAGCCCACCGTTGCGCCGCTCTAACCTCACGACCCAGCTTCGTCGTCGTGACTACGTCAATGAGGCTTCTGGCACTTCATCCGACTCGACACTTGCGTTGGATAAGCCTCACAGCAACGCGCACCATGGTGGCTCGATTCCCATGCAAGAGCGGAATATTCAGGGGAACGTGCCACCGACGGGCACGATTTCTGTCCCAACCTGCATGGAACCTACTGCGAACAGCCGTCGAACCGATGTACCCTTATCACCACGGGAGTGTCGAATGGCCATGGCCGGAGGAGCGTTGCGTTGTTTGGCAAAATGCTTATCGGAGCATCGTAGGCTTGCAAGCCTCATGAGGACACTCCAAGCGATCAACCTTTCGGGGATGCTGCCCACGAATCCTACGCCACGGGACGGTGACTACTACAAGTCGGTGATGATGCTGACGTGCTGACGGCTGGATGAAGTTCGATAGTAGTGGTTTTATTGGCTATGTGCTAGTTTCGGATGATCTTCAGACTTGGTATCTTAAAGAGGCAACGTCGCGATATCGGGATGGACATTAGAACATCAAGAGACCAGCTATGCGATGACGTCCTGCACATACACCTTTTCGGGGCTCCAGATCGTTACGGCAGCTTTTTCTCCACGTACTCGTCCAGGTAACGAGGCGGAAGAGGGTGAACGAAGTCGACGATCACGACGTCAAACATGTATTCATCCCGCGCTCTTCAGCGAGGACGGTTTCGAGTAAGCTCGGATTTCATCTGGAGCGCGTGGTCTCTGTTCAAGAAAGCCCCGCCTCGCGAATGGAGTCGAACGGTATGCTGTACTTCGAGGAACAGCTACAACCCCCAATCGGCTTCCTGTGACCCTTTCACAGGGAACGTTGTTTGAAACGCACTACGGTAATTCCAACATTCCGCTGCTGCGATATCCACCTTTCGTCCTGGCAGGATCTAGCCATTCTGAGGCCGGTGGCTCCGACGTCCTGATCTACCGAGCCATTGCACAAAGTCTTCCCATCCGGCTCAATCTTGAGATACGTCAGCTGTATTGCGGCGGAAGAACGCATTTGATTGGGCGTTTACCGATGGAGCACCACAGTGTCGAGGAGCTGGGAGGCAATGAGCGCTTTGCGATGAGGGGCGGTATCAGTGCGCACGACCGAGTGAGGACCGCGGCCCGACATGGTCCCTTTCTGGAATCTTGAATTATGCAGGAGGGAGGAGAGCGTCGGACATACGCGGTCCGCTCTATTCGAGCAGGAAAAAGAAGCGAGGTCGAGCCAACAACAACGATCTGCTGAATCATATACGTGCATGCTCTGCGTCCTGTTGTCGAAGATCGCTCAAAATAACCTCTGGTCCAGTGGCATGGCGGGAGCAGGTCTCGGGTCCAGAAACCTCCTCTCGTGCGAATCTGGATCTGTACCGTGGGGTGCCAGTTGATTAATCCTGGTAATCTGCCGTCGGCATCCCTTCGAGTTCAAGCCCTGCGAGCCCTTCCTGTTGAAGATTCTTCCTGGACGGAGATGCACTCTGATCAGCGCTTCGCCCTTGGAGTTTCCGAACATGTTTGGTGCACGGGAGGACGAGCGGGAGACTCCGATCGCGTTCGGTGGCTCCGGTGCAGGGCGGCCGAATGTGCGCTGCAACGTCGCTAGTCTGCTTTGACGGTCAGTACGGGATCACGTGAAATTCTCATGGGTGATGCACATACGTTGCCTTCCATGGCCGGCGCCGGGGTGAAGATGACGCGGACGACGCTGACACACATGTCAGGAGTGAGGAGATTGCAACATCCATCCGCAGCTTATGCTCAAGAGTGCGCTCCGAAACGCAGTATCCACCACTTAAATCCTGTGCGAATCGTCGGAGTCTCGTGTCGACGGTGGGTTCGGCGGCGTTGGCGAAGCCGTCCACCAGGAGAACTTCGCAAGGTGTCCTCTCGTACCCGGAGGTGCGATCCAGAACCATTTCCCGCAGGCGCTCGATACAACGCAATGAGTCGCCAAATGACGGGTCAAACAGATAGACGTAGGCGTGGCTGTCTGCGAGTCGCTCCGTACAGCCATGAACGTCAAACCGCTCGCCTCTCCATGCTCCCCCGATTTCGTATAGTACCACCTCGTCTGAGCATTCTGAGCGGGTAGTTGCCTCTGTCTTCTGTCGTCCCATGAAGGGGGGGTGTGTTGGCCAGAGTGTGGAATGCGAGAACTGCACGGATTAGCACGTCGCACCTGGTCTCATGCAGAACACCCACGTTCCCGATGGGCGTCCCCCCCCTCAGAGGGAAGACCCCCATGACAGCTATGTTCACCACCACCATTGAGTGAGCCCGCGCGATGCGCCCCGAAGCTGGAAGAGTCAGTAGGGGCGCGACGACAATGTCGAAATCTCGGCGTATAGAAAAGAAGAGATACCAGGTCGATGAGTCGCTGCGGAGCATGGTGCTCTGTTGACCTCTTATGAGGGGCGGAAGCCTCGCACTGTTCGATCGCATCATCTGTGAGGAGGGCCAGTCCCAAACGATCTTGAGCGGGAGCGAACCATGGCGCAGTCGAAGGATCACGCAAAATCATGATTCGAGTGCATTGCTTCAGTCACAGCGATGTCTAAGCTCTCCATGTCTCCTTGACTGCACCACCTCTGGCGCTGCGGGACAAAAGTGGTTGCATATCGGTCGGAAGGGAAAGCCGGCGATCGTTCCGAGACGGCTTTGGAGATGTGCTCTTGGCGACGTGGGGAAGGAAATTTCTTCTTTCGACCATTGACTCTCCGCCGCAGGCTCGACTTACGATCATCTCTCGCTCTTCGCCAGCACCGAGTGTGTCTAGGCACAGTACTCGGGAAACCATGGCGTCTGCTGCGCCGGACTTTGCGAATCTACCGGAAGCGGGAGAGGAGGAGAAGGATGCGGCGAGAAGGGTTGTGGAGAGCGGATGCAACAGGAGCGAGGAGGCTGAGGAAGAATTGAAATCATTATTTAAAGAGGTACCGTGTCCGTCCTCCTGTCCAACGCAGAGGCAGAGCTGATTGCAGAGACAGAGATACAAGTCTGAATTTCCGAAATGGAAACTCGACCTTGCTCCACGACCTGCGGAATTAGACAAGGTCCAGAAGCCGGAAGGACTGCACGATCGTGTCTTTGGCTTGTACGATGTAAAGACACAGGCTGTGCGTCCATGGACCGATGAAACCATTACTGGGTTCTATTGGTTGTTCAGTACTAGAACCGCTGGCCTTTAGAGATACAGGGGCGGGTACACGTTCGGGAAATAGCTCTCCCAATCAATGCAATCGGGTTCGCTAGGATCCACCTGATAGCTGGTGGAGTGGGGACCGAGGCTTGCTTCATCGACGCCTCCAAGGAAGTAGGCATTTCCACCCTGCAGTGCACCTGCTTCCGGTGGTGGGACCATCATCATGCCCAGCGACCGACCCGCGACTTCCGGTGGCGGCAGGTCGTGTTGTCTCGGCGGGTCCTGAACGGTCGTTTGTAGAAGCTCACGGTGGTTCTGAGACAGCCACGACGACAGTTCGGTCTTATCACTCGACAGATCGGCGGGGTCGTATCCGCAATGAAGCGCCTCGCTCACGAGACACTTCGCTCCCTCATCTTTCTTCATCTCCACTCGACGTGCGAACACGGTACTGTAGCCCTGGCAGAGATTGCACACCTGGGTGATATCGTCGATCGTGAGATTCCGCCTGTACCTGGCGTAGGATCAGCACGCCTTGTCTTTGGACGGGATGTGTGCTATATCGCTCACAAGTCTGCCGTCCCTCTCCCCACTATCGCCAAACCAGACATCCCCACCGCACGAACGATTGCGAAGAGCCGCCCGCCGAACGCGGCATCCTCCTTCAGTCGCCGGAAGTCGTCTCCCGTCTGAGGTGTATCGCCGAGCGCCTCTCTGTACAAACGATCGGCGGCTTGCGTGCGCGTCTCTCGCCTCCCGGTCGCGCAGATGTGCTGACGTGGAGCGTTTCTCTTCAACTTCTCGAACGAGTCCCATACCAACACGTAGTGGATGCGGGTCTTGAGATTTTCGGCACGCCCGACACGGACACTCCGTGCCCGGCGCTCCGAGATGCGCACGAGGCGGAAGTGATGACGGGGCTCTGAGGATATGGCGGTGTCGTAGACGGCTTGCTCCTCAATCCACGGCTCCTCGTTCGATGTGTCCTCGTTCGATGTGTCCAGAAATTTGCGGATCGCTGCGGCGAAGTACCGCGCCTTGGAGGGCGTCAAACCGGGGAGTGTTTTCAAAACCCTCTCCTTGGAGACTTTGAACTCCTGGCGCGACGCCGCTGCTCTATTTCGATCATTCTTCCAATCTGGTGACCGGAGTGATGCACGCACCACCGCACGGTGATGCGGGTGCACCTGACCCAGCCATGCCACGAACTCTTCCATCACGCGCGGATCTTCGAGGACAAGAGGCGTGGTGTCCCGAAAGAATGTGTTTGTGCGGTCTTCTGTCGAATACATGCTGAGGTCCTGGGTCTGTGGGTTGGCTGGAGACCGGTGTGCATTCTATACAAACCCAACCCTCACGGGCCAGCTGGGGACCCACAAGACCTCCAGATTCGAAGCTCAAACCTGGAGGTCTTGTGGGTCCCCAGCTGCACGTTCTCCCTGACCATGTTGCACCATCAGGCTATGGCGTGGGATGTGATTGGCGCATTGTCGTGAGGACAGTCTCGTCCCGGAGGATCGGCCGAGCTACTGCCCCAAGATTGGCCCTTGGAGGGCCGAACGATGCACGGGGTGTAAGGGGCACGCCCTACCGTCCGTCGTCCGGCGTTGACGCGTGGTTGGTAATGGGCCGTGTCATGGATCGTGGCTGGCCGGGTCTGATCCTCCCCCTCCCCGCGGCAGCCGGGGCGAGCGATTCCGCTGCCGGCAAGGTTCATCCCATTTTAACCTAAACCATCGAAGGGGACTCAGACGCTTTGAAAGGCGGCTGAGAGCGGGCGGGCGTGGCAGTGGGCTTCTACAACGTCCGGACACAGGTGCATGGTGCTACTTGAGACGAGGACAATCTAAAGCGGTCACGCTATAGGGCTGGGTCCCTGCGGGCCCTCGACGCGCCGTCTATGATCTCGAGCCATGATCGACTGCGCGTAACGTACTCCTTTCCAAGGCCGGAAGGATCGCGGGATGTCTGACCCCTGCGAGGTGCTAGCACGGCGATGGTCAACGGCGATGGTCAACGGCGATGGTGGTGCGAGCCCCATATATCGACGGCATTCCTTTGGACGTGAGATCCCTTCGACATTCTCCAGAGTTGGGAGACGTAGGGAGGCCTACGTGCGAACCCAGGCGGCCGGCGAACGCCTGCCGAATCACCTAAAGACGTGCAACAACGATCTCGATCGAGATACGACACCACTATGACGGCATCTCGACCTCCACACGCATCCGGTTCCTTGGAGGTGGGAGGTGTCGCCATAGTAAGTAGGAAGCCCTCATCGACTGCGATGCGGTTGCTGATGTTCCAGGCAATCCACACCCCGTCGTCCAAGGCGAAGGTCGCCAGGACGACTTTCCTGCGCTTGCGAGACGACGCTTTCGTTGAATCACCCCGGGCTGCCCTGGGAGCATTGCGTAATCTGCGACGGGAGGGGTACGAAGCGGAATTGGAGGGACAGAGTATGTACGATGCACTGTTTCACGCTGGAGGCAAGTTCGATGACCTGGAGATTTGGGGAGTCGTCTCGACGGGCCGAACACCAGACCTGATGTTGACTCACGGCGTGACATGCCTATTCGATGAGGCGATGCGATGCAAATACTGCCGGACAATGATTGCGGAAGCCTTCCGTTTCGAGGGGGAAGGCGATTTGTGTGACGCGCTGGTGGATGAGCGGTTGCTGCTGGGAGAGACCGACTCCACGCATGCATTGCTGTCATTGGACCTGAGCGGTGACACTCTTCGTCTTCGTGGCCGCTGTTCTGACAGCGAGATCACTGTTGCTGCACTCCTCAGGACAACAGTAGGAAGACAGCTCTTGGCAGATCATTGCGATGGGTTACTGCGGAAGGTCGAAGCCAGGAGTCTGGAAGGGGATGATGCGGAAGACTTCAGGAGCATTCGCGAGCAGCTTTGCCAAGCGCGGGACAAAGTCAAGGGCTGCTCGTCAGTGCAACGACGAAGGCCAGCGCGTGGCTGTTTCAGTTGGGTTGGGAGCAAAGGCCCCAGTAGCGGAAGATGATTAGCCCACTCGTACTACTGAGGAAGAGAACACGGATGTCTGGAGTCAGTTGCTGTCACGTATGAGTATAATACTACGGAATCGCGAAGTCCCTACGCCAACAGCATCTTCTTGGTCTCGTATCTCACCTGCGGTATACCTAGGCGAAACACGTCGACTTAACGTCATGCAAGGCGGATGGTGGGCCCGGGAGACGTCGAACCCCTTCCGGTCGAATCGTTCATGGCGACGAGAATGACGCAGGTGTCGAGTTCTCTCGCCGGCCGGACGGAAGACTATGTCTAGAAGACCTCTGCCGCGGGCGCGACGGCAGCCCCTCCCGAGATATGAACCTCCACTTCGAGTTCGTCACGTTTTCGGCGCGACAATCATCACCAGAATACCCGAGTGGGGCAACAGCGACTCGTGGTGCGGGATCGGCGTCAAGTATCGGATTGCAGCCGGGAAGAAACGGACCGGGACTGTCAACGTTCTCTTTGTACTGCACGGGGAGACTGCAAGCCGTCGCGGCGCCGCTGGAGCGGAAAGCCGAGCAGGTGCCCACGTCTTCGTTACCGTACGCTGGCTGCGGACATGTCGACAACAAGCTCGGCAGTGCGCCGTCCTCCCAACCGTTGAAAAAGTCCTGATGCATTCCGTAGCCAGTGTCATCTCCTTGCGCGAGTACGAAGGAGTCTGGCCCGGTCTTGCCGGCGAGCTTGTCGATGTCGAAGAAGTTCTCGACGAACAAGTGTGGGAGACGTAACGGGTGCGAAGCTGGGCAAGCGCCGCTTCGGACGTCGCCGTGTGGATACGCCATGTGCGCTTGTGCATCTTCGGGGTCGTACTCCCTGCCGTTCCAGCAGTGTGGGAACTCGACGGACGCGTACAGGTATGGATAGTCCGAGCACGTATTCACCCCCCTCGGGAAGCCTCCGTCGTCGCCGGTGATGTACGAGCCGCCCTCGAAACACTTCCACACGACGGCTTTGCTGCCGGTGGGGGAGCGCGCGAAAGGATCACCGGCGAGCATTCGGAAGCCATGCTTGAACTCGAATGGCTGTGCTTTCTCTCCTATTCCGACATCGAGATAGTACAGTTTGTGTCCGTTGGTAGGCACGCGCAGGTATCCCTTGGACCCCTCGCGGGACTGCATATACAGTGCAGGGTGCCAGTATATACTGCGATCGGCAGCGATTCCCTGGAAGTCGGCGGATCCGACTGTGGTACAAGATGCGGTCTGCAAGCTGTCGTAATCCAGTGTTGAAGACAACATGTCCGCACCGAAGATCTGATGCACGTGAGCGCTGATGCCCCCTGGGGCGATGATGGGGTCGATACGCTGTACGGACGTGTCATCTCCTCCCGGAGCATACATGACAAATTGTTGCGCCATTGCCATCATTTGAGCCGCGATCACGACGAGGACAGTCTCGAGTGCCGTTCTGGTCATGACGGGGGCAGCGCAAGCACTGGAGTCGTATAGCTCTCGTTCGTTGATATGCGGCGCAAATATACCCGCTGCACACACGGGCGTGCTGTGGATGCGCACGGAGCGTCTGAGGGAATGAGTGTAGGAGGAATAGCGAACGGAGTCCGCCGCACGAGGCGGGATGGTAGAGACATGAGCAGGGGACGCGGATGAGGATGCCGAAGTGAGGAGAGCGAAGATGTTGGACGACACTGGTGCTTGTGCGAGGGAAGTCGTTTAGGCGACCCCCCCTTGTGTCGGAAGCAATTCCCCCTGTGCTGATGGCTGTCAGCAGAGTCACTCCCGAATATATCATCTCGCCCGGCAGAATCGTCCGGAACCCATAAGAAAATAAAGTGGAAACTTCGGCGGCCAAGTAAGTATCCCGATCTGTACGGTGCGACACTGTACGACGATGGTGAACGGCACCTTCATTTTGGCGGAATCACAAGCCCGTCCCCAGATGACTCGTCCACAACTGGAGTCTGATCTTCACCCTCATCAGAGGTGACACTGCCATCAGCATTCATGCCACGCGCATCACCGTCGCAGACATACGTATCAAACCGTCTTCGCATCTTAGCCACGCAACGCTGTTTCTCCGGCCGTGAAAGCCGAAGGGACTGCAGTGCTTGTCGTACCTCTCACTCCTCGCGATCCCGGCGCAGGAGAGCTCAGTCTGCGCCACCAGATCGAAAGTCATGAGAGCGCCATGGCTGTGTCCGGCGACGCCAAGGCGACCTCGATCTGCAACGCCCAGTTCGACTACCTTCGCAACGGCTGCTTCGGCGATACTAATCCGTTATTTCAGGCAAGTGTCGTGAGCACTCTTACGATCGCCGATGATGGAGAATGATACAACTGGGCCACGGCGTAGCCAGAGAGAAGCGGGTGGAAGTGCATACTCAGGTAAGTGAAAGTAGTCGGGGTGGCATGCTTGACCTGTCCAGCTGTCTGTGCGCCCGGATACTCCGAACGGTATGAGTAGATGATAGTAGGGATGCGCTTACCGGGAGGTGCCGTACTAAGTGAATACGCTTTCTGCTCTGTTCCCTCTCGCTAATGGACTCCTACGCGGTAGCCTTGGACGGTGGATTTGGCTTCGTGGTGGGGCAGCACAGTTTTCTAGCCAGCTCTTCACCGGGTCCCGCTTCTGATCAAGGAGCGATTGAAAAAGCCGGCAAGCATTGAATATCGTTCATTGTCGAACGATGCCAGGCTGTCCGTTGCCACTCCCGAGTTCTACTGCAATTGTCGGGGTCAATGCGAAGGCTGGCGAGCGCAAGATACTCATATCAGAAACCAGAGATGGGAAATGTTCGCTTTGATATCGTTGTAAGGTAGGCCGGGGTTTGGACTCATGGAACGGCGAGATTGCCAACCGTCGAAGTCTTCTGCCAAGTCACCATTGAGGATTCGGTCGCCATGGGGCTTCGGGCAAGCCCTCGGGTGGTGCATCAGACTCTCATGACTTCAAGGATGTCTGCCGGTCATTCGAAGAAGCCCGAAGGCTCTCCGGTAAAAGATTCCGATACGTCTGCCGCTTCCGTTTCCTGCTGTCCCGGGAGCACCGAATAGCAACGGGGTCTGGTTCAGTGGTCGTATTTGAGGTGGTCAAATGGGTTGGGTAGAAGTCGCTAGAAGTGAAGAGTGATCGGGACCTGCATTTGATACCTCGACGAATGTGTGCGCTAGTGGTCCAGGTCAAGACTGCGGCATGCAGATTGAGATGACTTTGTGTCACACGCTCTTCGTAGGGCGTACTAAAGTGTCCCGAGCTTTGCGGGTGACAAGTGCCTGCGCGGTCCAGGATGTGAAAGTTGGTCCCGAGTGGGCATGGAGCTCGCTGCTGGACGGTGAATTGCCCTGCATGAGTCCACACCGTTGATATGTCCGCAGTATCCAGGGGCCGGCAACTGTATTACGATGAAATCCCACCTCGTCCCGCTGGCGAGACGCACCCGGCATCCTCGGGCGGCCTCTCAATTAGCGTCGACACCTCCAACATCCTTACTTCGCTAAGCCTTTTGCCTCACCAAGAGCTCCCTTGTGCAACAAAACCTTCGCGTCCGTGAAGTCCGTGAAGTCCGCGTCTTGGGACCGTGCTGATTGCTCGTCGAGGCTGGGTTTGCTCCGCGGAGTACAAGGGGTGGGCAGCAAAAAATGGGCGCGCCCCATTTTAGAGTGAGAGATCACGATCTATCCTCCGGCAACGGCCAACGCGGCGTGCTTTGAAACGCTACGATGGCGAGATTGACTTGTGCATGCTTGGTGTGCAACCAATCAGGGAGAGAAAGGGGTAAGGCAGACGAGGAAGTCGCGCTCAGTGGTATTGGTGTGCAAATACTATCAGCCGCATCTTCGCGCCGCTAGGTATGGGTGACGCGAATCAAGCCGCTCTTGCGCACGTCAGCTCAACTCAGAACGACATGAGAATGTCCAAGGAAGCGAGTGGTGGAGAATGGTCTGGACTCTAGACTTGCAGGTGCAAGGACCCAACCAACGAAGCTGCAACATGTGACCGATCGCCGCAGCCGCACCGATGCGCGACTTCCGGCTCTGAGTGTTTGCAAACCGTTGAGCGCCCCAGCCGCGCCAACGTGGTACGAGGAATGAGGACAGACCTAGGTTCGCAATCACCCCCGTCCACCGTGATGCTATTGGTCCCCATCCTGGCCCTTTCGACGCTCCTGCCCTCACCGCGATTTCGTGAGTAGCCTGGAGCCAAAAACTGCCCGAGGCTGTAGCCAGTCCTAGCCAGTTCACTCGGAACAGCCTCCTGCCTGGACGCTAACTCGACTGGCCGGAACGACACGCGGAAAGATGCAGAAGACGAACGCGCAGAAAACGTGATGGAGGAGATCCGCAACAGCAAATGCGGAACGAACGTCAGATAACGCAAGGGCCAATCGTTCGCCCCCACAGTCATTGTCTGCCGTCAGCCAGGGAGGGCCAGGAGTTCGACGGGGTTGATGCCATGGGGTGCCCGACGTGACTCGAGCTCTAGGCAGAATTGTATACACACCATGGGACATGATCGGACCCAAGTCACAGACCTGGATATTAGCTGCTGTTCTGCGCACGCGACCATTCCGAAGCTAAGGAGGTATATAGAGGATGCGGCTACAATGCACGACCACGGTACCAACAGAACGTGATGCTGTAGACCATCGGCGTACACATCACCTCGGTGCACTATCAGCTTTCCGGACTTGTGCATGGAGATCGCATGTGCAGTGCCATATGATATGCTATGTGCAGTATGCAAGCTTAACGACAACGGTGGTTAATGAGCTGAGAGTCGTGGTGATGTCGGCTCGCGCGACGGGTTGCAGGATAGGTCGACCTTCCGCACCTTGTAGTACCATTGAACACTGCCATAGCCTGCAAAACGATCGCAAAGCGATATTTGAGCCTCTGATAATATCCCAGCCGCTCACGCAGTCATACTGTCGGGCCGCAGTGTTGATGACAATCGCTGCTCTGTCGTTCCACGTGTCGATCGAGAGCACCGAGGCGGGATCACAAAACCCAATCCCGGGGCTGCCGGTTCGACTGTGTCTGAGCAAAGTTGCACCGCCGATCGTCGGATAAATGCCTTCTGGGGCGATCATTCGGAATCCCCCGAGGACGATCGCCTTCACGCAGTGGAACGTGGCGCAACGGTGATATTGCTGGAGATCCACAAACACCCTCGCTTCCACCACTTAGAAAACGCCACTCGCCATCGACTGTCGAATGAACGGACTGACAGTGGTCGACTCCGTTTCGAGAGGCATCCGTTATTTCGTGTTCATCAAGTCTGCGAACACAGGCCATGAGCTCGTTCCTCAATCAGCCTCATTTGTTCTAGCCTGGACCAATCGTGGAGAGGATATGGGAAGATCCCCGGAAAGGAGCGCCCTGTAAAATCGGTAGGTAAGTTAGAGCTTTGGCGTCGGCCACGGATCACATATCAATAGGCGGTGTGACACACAAACCGAGCCTCGAGGCTCACTAGCTCAACGCAGCACGGCAGGAAAGCGTCTGTTGTAGGGATCGGAGGGTGCAGCTCGAGAGCTTCGACCTGCAGACTGAGCCCCTGCGCTACGCGGAACGATCGATTGCTACCATGATATCGATCCGAGCGACTTGTGATGAAACGAAGCTTCGAACACGTCGGGAAGAAACACCGTTCGCGTTCCGCCAGCACGGAAGTTTCGCCTCACGCACACCCTAGTCCGAGTCAGTTTCAGCGGCCGCCATATTGCCTTCTTGAACGCCCTGGTCCCGCCCGCGGTTCGCATGTAGCCCACAGTCAAGTATTGCGTCGGAATGCAGCCCATCTGATCGATCTTCTCTCGCTGCATGCGATTTGTCGTGGACTTTTGTCACTATCCAGACCAATACACAACCTTCCAGATGAGCGGAATCGCGAGCACAATAGAGCGAGAGGATGCGATTATGGAGGTACCCTGCCCCAACATCATCGAAGGCCCCACTCCCCATCGCTTGATGGGCGCCATGGAGAGCAATGGTCACCAACCGCACTCGAGCAGCAATGCCCCATCCCTGGCCGAATGGGGAGGAGAGCACGATGATCTTGCGTTCCGCGAAGTACAAGTTGCTGTACCATGCACCTTGGATGGTCTCACGGGACGCCGCTGCGTTGGGCCCAAAGACGACCGCATGTCGTCGAGTTCGACCGTTGAGGATTGGACCACATTCGAGATGCCAGGGAGCATTGGGACCGGGGACAACGGACGGAATGAAGCTATGGCTCAGGACTCCGACAGCGGCGACGACGAGAACGAGTTGGAAGAGCCGGAGAGGCTTTTTGGCACAACCGCGGTCGAGCCTGAGCCCATTGTGCGGGGCTGTTTCTTCGCCATGTGCGTTCAGGACTGGTGCACGACCACATTTATGATCCAGTTCTCGAACGGCGTCGTGCCATCAGCATTTGCCCCAACCGTGGACACGTACGAGAACGCAATCGCGATCACGCTCTGCTCCACGTGCGCGGCTAAGCACAAGATGCCGTCCAGCTTCGAGCAGACGAAGTTCGAGACAGAACTGGGCTCGTTCCTGACCAAGAGGATTAGCGCCACGCTGGGAAAGATATCGGACGTGCGCTGGGTTGCGGAAAGGATCGTGGGTGCGCCCGTGAGCCTCATAAAATCTGGGGACCGGCTCAGATTCATACCCAGAGGCGACATCATGTCTCATACGACGACCTGGGACAGTGTGAGGAGCGTTGACCTGCTCGTGGCCAAGACAGGGGAAAGATATCGCATGTTGTTTGACTTCCTGCTCGGTGGCACCATCTAGTACACGACTGTGGCGTACCGGTAGAGAGGACGGTGAATGGACCTACGGCTTGTGAGATCAGGTGCATCAAGTGGTGGTGCTGTCAGAATGTTACATTACCGTGGTCTCCAATACTGGACAGCTTCTACCGCAGCGCGTACCGGTGCAGCACTCAGAGAAACATTAGGAAAAAGTGCGTCTTGGAGAGTCGATTGTAAGGGGAAGAAGCCCCAACGTAGTTGCCAACATGTACGAAACGCGCAACAAGTCCCGTGACCACCCATGTACCAGGAGCCTGCACTTATGCCGCAGTCGGGTTGTGGTACTGGTAAGCTTTGACGTGCGCTCTCCTTGCTAATAAGCGTACAGCTACCCCAACTCTGGTCACAAGCAGTACCGTGACATGTGCGTGAGGATGATTTCGGGATGACTCCACAACATCGTGACCCCGCAAGCATTCGCAATGCTGAGCGGCGGTACTGCTATATTGAGAGCATGCACGTTGCCTGCCTGTGCGAAGAACAGTGAGCACGTTGGTCGGCGCCTCTTGCGCGTGTTCGAGGAAGGCCCCCCCCCCTCCCCCCCCAGGTGGATAATGGCTGAGCGACGGCTCATGTAGCATTGGGGCTCGATAACCTCGTGCTTTCCCCCGCGAACGGGAAATGTGGGGCCACGGCGAGCGCTCGGAGCTGAGGACCGTCAGCAATCGCATCAACAAGGGTGATCCTTGAGTGATCTGTATTGGTTTACGGCCGTCGCTCGCAGGAATCGATCCAGAGCGGGCGGTTAATTGTCTAATATCTGTCGGGGTAGTCCTGGAGACACGGCACCAACGGAAGCTAACCAGCCTACTGCGGGACCCGTGTGTGATAAGTGAATGTGGCGAGATGAAGCTGCTGCTACACGGTCTTCAAAGCACTCGAGGGTGCAGTCTGAGGCATTCAGCTGGTCTTACGCTCTTCCCAACCATCGCGACGCCTTGCTCAAAGGCTCTGCTGTTCGCGCCGCGCCATCCCCTGATATTATCGGTACTCGCACACCCGAGGGTCCCTTCGCCTGCATTGCGTCTAGCACTTTTCCGGCACTGTCATGAGGAGGCGTGGAGGCTGCGGAGGCGATCAATACATGGCTCGTCGATTCACATATCCGCCGTTGTTTCCCTCGAGTTATGATTTCGCTCGTTGCGAAGGAAGTGCAAACTTTGCTGACATGATCTTGTACCAATGCTCTAGCATCCTGAAAAATTCTGTAGCTATCAATCCGTACTCTCCGGGAGTTCAAGACCAGTAAAGCAGCTCGCGAGAGATCAACTGTCATTATCGACTGTTATCCGAGTTATGCTCTGTTGTTCCACGGGAACGCCGCTGGGGACGGTGCCAGAGTCTTTGTGGTCTCTTGGCAATCTATTCTCTCAGAGAGGTCAATCATGGGACCGCACCCATATCCTCGACCGTGGTACTTAGCATATACTGGCCGGAAGCTTCCGGCCCAACCATACTCTGGTTTTCTTGTGCTCCACCGCTGCCTGCTAAAGTCTGCTTCGGCTAGCGGGACTCGGCCTTTGGGAGCAGCCGTCTCCGGCTGATCCATCTCTGGTGGTGTGTGTATATTTGCCGCGGGCACATGACGTAAGCTGTAGTCTCTGGCGGCTCTTCGCCTCGCATCTCCTGATCCAGCCGATGAAGCAGGCGGTGACGAGGTGTAGACCGGTCCGTCGAGTTGGAGTGCTTGCACCAACTCTGTCTCGACAGCAAGTCGTAGCGCCCCATTTTCTTTGATAGTCCGAGGCATAGGTCCGACTGCGGCGACTTCGGAGTTTGCAACATCGTGGTTGTCCGGAACCGTGAGGGTGTTTCTGGATCGAACTTCGCGTCCATGGCTGGCGACATGATGCTGAGGTGAGACTGTCCATCATCCTTACTGCAATGGATCGAGATCGACGGACATGGACAAGATCGGTTGTCTTGATTACTCTTTCCCGTGGCAGAGCAACGGCAACAGAGCATCCAGACTTGTCTTTATGGAAGTCTGACGGCTGGGACATTGCCGTGGAAATTCGAGGGCAGTGCTGAATCCACTTTTGAGAAAGCCCGGACGATGGACTCGGAATTCTCTCGATGCCAGTTACGAAGGCGACGCGCGAGAATTGCAGGCGCTCATGCCCGGGAGCAGCAACCACTTTCTGTCAGGAGCAGCCGGCACTTCACTGTACACGGGCGACGCGGAAGCAGGGTTCGCAGTACTCATGCTTGAAGACTTCGACCGAACCTGATTGGTTCAGTATGTTCCTTCCGCGCTTGTTCGCCCAGACTTCCCTGATTTGGGCTCGATGGGACATTGAACCCAGTCGTGCCTAGCTTTTGTGCGGGAAATTTTCGATGTAGGCAAAAGGCGATCCGTTACACAGCAAGTCTGTCTTCTCCGCCCGGCAAAACCTCACGCCGTCTCTCTGGCACTCTTGGAACGCTGCAGAAGCTGTGTCACCGAGAAACCACCCTTCGAGTAGAGTACGCCTGATGGCACTCGTTTTCTGCGTTTCTTTTTTACCTGGACCGCACCCCAAAGAATGCGTGTGTGCGGATATTTCCAGTCTCTACAGTCATGACAGGATCAACCGCGACACGTGCCATGTTGATGCGACCAGGGGTCGCTTTCGCGGCAGACCAGTCGCTGAAGAGGATCGACGACAGGTGAAGTCGACTTATACTTCGGTACTAGGAAGCTTGGCACACGCGAGGCGGCTGACCTGTTCGTGCCGAGACATGGGGAACGACACAACATCTGAAGTAAGCTCGGACGCTATCGTAACTCGCAACCCTTATCCGGCCCTTGTCTTGCCCTCGTTTTCTCGGTTGTTGTTCTTCGGGTCTTCTTCGGCGTCAAGCAACGTCTATGATTCATAGCGTTGCCCCGGCGCTAGTGAATGAGCTGGTGCTTGATATGATACACGGAACGAGTTTAGCATTGGCCCGGTAATACCTTATCATGTCGAGGCTCTCCTCATCGAAGAAGAATGCTGACGCAACACTGGAACGACTCCCGTGTGCGCTCATTACCATTGCCGAAGATGCTCCCAATTAAAGCAACTTCACCTGTCGCCTCACCAAGGCCAGGCTGTCCTCTAGTGCGTGCCACGCATGTACAGGACTTTTCATATCGGTGTTAGCCCGGTTCTCGCGCCTTGCCTTGAAAAACCCGTCCCCCGCGGTCGTGACGGCTATTTTCGGCCTCCTGTCGTGTGCGACAGCCTGATCTTCTGAGTGGAAGGGGGGAGGGGGGATTCGAGGAAACGCTGATGTCTCTCGGATGGTTTAGATTGCTCCGTGTCAAGGCTCTACGAAGATGAAATACACATACTTTCAGGGTTACATTTGGAAAGTTGCTCGAGCAACTGAGAATTGCGATCGATATTGCCACCCTACAAGAGTATGCCGACACCGCCTTCTTGAAACCCTGCCTCTTCAGTACCAAGTCCGAGTGAGATGACTAGAGTCGGTGCCGGGTCGCGTCCTCCAATGGCAGTGACAGCGTCCTCTCAGCAAGCCGTGTCCTCACACGAGAGAATCAAGGCGTACCCATTGCGATCTCGAACCTCGAAAATCACTCGCGTTGAATCGCTTAAGCTGTCTGACCTAGGTTTATTCGAAAACGATGCGATCCCTGGATGTTTAGACGCTGGCGTCTTTGCTCGGAGCAATCTGTCGAGTGAACGCTACGGACTGCGTCACAGAAGCAAAATTTACTATGGCGAGGATGACGTCAATCATAACGAGGGCGGGGTTCACGGGGTTCAGAGGCAAACAGAAGACTCTACGAGTCCCTGCGTCCACAATGAGGAGCGTTGCCATCAGCGGGAGGACAAGGAGGAGGAGGAAGAGGAGGAGGAGGAGGAAGAGGAAGAGGAAGAGGAGGATGGAGCGGAAGACGAGGATAAGGACTCAGGCGATGAAGAAGACGCCGATGAAGAAGACGCCGATGAAGAAGACGGTGACGAGTCTGAGTCGGAGGATCGTAAAGAAGAAGAGTATGACGAGGATGGAGACTACGAAGAGTGTGACGAAGAGGAGCATAGTGAGGACGACAGTGAAGAAGTTGACGATGACGAGTTTTAACGAACCTGGGATCGCTCCACCAACCTTCCTCGCAGCCTGTGCGGGGCCTCACTCGGACCAATGATCAGACTTGCCAACCGTCTACAGACCACCCTCGGGCACCTCACACCTGGGGATGGGCAGAGTCGGGTGTTCTGCTTAGGGCGCAAAGCTCGGGAGTTGCATCTTCGTGCAGGACGAGGCATCGGCAGTGAATAATGCCATACCTTGGCCCACAATGAAATCCGATGCTTTTCATGCTGTGTAGAAGCCAGTGTCCTCACCGCGTGTTTGTGTGGTGTTGAGGCCGGCGGGGTGACGCTCAACTTGTTTATCTCAGTCCTGTGCATTGTATACTCTCTATATTCGTGTCGCTACCTAAGGCCTATGTAACCCAGAATAACTCGCCTCAGAGTAGCCCCTCGAGGTTCCGAGAATCATAGTATGGAGACTGCACAGCTAATGTTGGAGAGAGCCCGATCCAGATTCTGCGGGTACCGAGGAGCCGCAACCCAATTCTACCGCTCATGCTGTCTGCAGGTGCTGATGCCTGTGGTCATGGATCCGCGTTGGCCTTAACAACCCTTGCACATTCCTACTACATGCCGTCGAGGACACAAGAAAGTTGCCGGCGGGCTTGACAACATGTCGGTTCGCCACTACGAAATGAAATCTGTCTTCGCGAAGTGGTGGTGGAGGAAGAGCGGTGGAAGGTTGCCGGGGTCGAGCATCGACCGTCACGAGGCATAGCTGGCGAGAATGTGGTGGTTGCGGCAAGACATTCCGCATAATCAACGCCTAAAGCTGTGTCGTGGACTTGCGGTGGTCCATCCCGTGCACGAGGCTTACAGCCCTTGGTGACTGATAGCTGCAGCTTTATGCAGAAGACGCCACTGCCTATGTCGTGCTCGCCATGGTTATCTGGTGAGATTGCTGCCCGCGGCGCGCTTTGGTCCGGTATCGGTGCCGGTAGGACATCGGGAGCGGTTTGCCGACCTTGCGCATTTTGGAATCAAACAACATGTGCGGCAGCACATCACAAGGGGCAGACCACGGAGTGTCCAACACCAGCTCCGTGTAGAATTCGGGCCTCCCTCTGCAGCATTCGCTGTGCCTCCGCGCTCCAGTTTCGATGCTTCGCTGCCAACTTCAGTGAGTACAGCCCTGGAAGCGAAATCGGTAGATTGCTGTTGCGCATTCGGATGTGGGGCTGCCTCCAGCCAAGCCAGGTATGGGTTCCCTTGCGGAAACAGCTTCTTCAGTCAACGTGTGTGCCCCACAACAGTGGTGTTCCTGCATTGCTCTCGAATGATGACGTGGAACCTCCGGGCGGAGCACAGCGAGTGCCAGCCTCCTATTCGCGTAACACCAGCATACTGGTCCGCTTGTGTAATCGCCCGTATCGAGAGGTATGGGCTCGACTGCGGGATGCGATCCACGCCGTCCGGACACGGTGCAGATGCCGGGAGTCGGGCGGAGCATCAAGAGCGACTGGTCGCCTGTGCGGCTGAGCGGTGAGTGCGGACCGCAGGGTGTGAGCGCCACGCGAATGGCACGATTGTCGTGTCGTCGGCTCGTGGTCTTCGGGGCTGCATGGTAATGTTACCTGTGTTAGCCGACATTCACACCCTGTTCTGTCCACCGCTGGCCAAAGACACGGTTGTGGCCCGGGTGCACTTTTTTATCTTGTGCTTGCTTGACTTATATGCGTTAGACACGACCGTCCAGACGTCTTCGAACCTCGGCCAATTTGGGTCCAGCTTGCTTTTCGGCTTGTGTTCCCTTCGCAGCGTCAGAAGTGTGTGGCAGTACTCCTTTGTGAAATGTTCACGCTTCGCTGTATGGGCCTCGTCTGTGTCGTCTCCGACTTTTACTTCGCATATGGCTGTCCTAATCTTGTTCCTAAAATTGCTGGCCTCTTTCTTTATTGCATGGGCTTCGAGCCCCGCGTCTTTTAAAAGTGCTTCGATGTAGGTTCTTTGTCTTCTACACGGTAGTTGGATTTCCGTCTTGGCCTTCTCGAATGTCAAGACGACGCGACAGCCATCCTCTATTCGTTCTAGCGTTGCCACATGCAGTGAAGGATCGGAGGAGCCTGGCAATGCGATGGACATGGACACGCATGGTACAGACGATGTCGGACCGTCCGCGTCAGCAGGGCGGTTCCTGTTCGCGTGGGCGACCCGTGAACGGAGGAATTGACGTTCGCTCCCCTCATCAAGCGAAGAACTTCGGCGACGTTTGTTTCCCGCCCGTGTAGGTCTGGGGCTGTCGGTGGTGCGCCCGTCGTCGGCCGTCAAAGAGCCATCCGGAGTGCCGTCGTAGTTTGGCGGTGAAGTGGATCGATCTTCCTGCCCGGTTGAAGGGCTAGAAGGTAAGGTCATGCTTTAGGTTGCAAAGGAAGCAGCGACGGTAGATGTTGCGAAAGGCGCGATGTTGTTGAGAAAGTTCTGTGTACGTAGTGCGTTGGAGGGACGCTTGCCGACGCGAGAATCAGGGGCGTGACGGGTGGCGCGATCGGTTCGGCACGCTCGCGCAGGGGTACCCGGCGTCTAGAACGAGATGGCTGCCAAGATTGTTCAACTTCGGACGTGGGAGACCTCCTCATGCTAGGTAGTAGTTGGTCTGCAATCACCAAATTGCGGGCATATGACCGCTTCATCGAAGACACACCCTTTAGCCGTTGGGAATGGAAGACGTTCCCAGGGTTCTAGGTGGCTCGAGTGAGGTCTGCGCCACGAGCCGTTTTTACCCGCACCGCGAAGGTGGTCACGGTTCTTCTATAACACACAGCTAATGGATCCCTACACACACTCTCACATGCTCATAAATCTACTTGATAGAGACCAAAACGCACCATAGCGAAGCGATCCGATCATGGACAGCGGAGATGTTAGCCCTCCCTTACTCCTCACTCTCCCTTCCGAGACTCGGAACATGACATGAAGCTACCAATGGAACAGCTGCGACACGGTGTCTCGGGAGGAGGACATGTCGCACTCACATCTTGGAGGTGGGCAAGCAGATCAGGGAAGAAGCTCGGCGTCACTCTCTCGGAAATGCTTCGCCTCAAGCTCAACATCATCTTCGATCCGGACACACGGCACTTGGAAGCGCTTGAAAGTCGACTGAGGAGCTTTGCACTCAAGTCTCGCTTGTACCTTGTCGTGGTGGGCATGCCCAAGCGGAGAGTATGCACGATGGACGATGGTGCGGAGAAGGATATTTGGTACGCTTTGGCACAAACTACCCTTCCACTTCGATGGTGGCGTCGGTCATCGAAGGGCTCGCTCATGATCGTTTACGAGGAAACGCCTCTCGCGCGACTCTGGGACCACCTCTCCAACTTGCCCCTGGGGCACGTGGACCTACAGCACCACGCTGCGTTTCAAGGGGTCCTGGGGGCGCGTCGTTGTTGTAAAGAGTGGCTGGCGAGGGAGCTGCTCGGACGTCTGGGTGGGGATTCCTCAAGGTCCGCCCTCCCAACGCTCTCACCCCGACACAAAGCCTTTGGAGATGCTCCCGACGCTTTCGATGACAGCGCCCTCGCGAACAGGGCGAACTCGCAGGGGCGCTTTCGTAGGACATCGATACTTGCTGGCTGCAAACCATGGTCAACCCGATCGCACCCCGATCGCGCATGTGAGCGGTGGTGCCACGCATCCTGCGCGGTTGGTCGGCAGTGCGCGGACATACATCGACGTGGCACGGATGCTGTTGTTTGAACGTGATAGCCACCTCACTGCGTAGTCAGACCCCCTGCCGGTTTGGAAGCGAGGAGTAGCCCGACAAGTAGATGAAGCCGCGCCAAGAACGTCGACCAAGGTCACATGGGCGTACGTTTTGGCTTATGCATACGTGGATGTCTGTGCCTGTAACACGGACAACTCATCGCGACCACGTCATTTTGCGGGATGTTCGCGGTCGACCAAGCCTCATAGGGGTCGCCACGGGCGCATACCAGATGGTGGAGAGTACACGTCTGACAAAGTGCCGGGCGGCATCATACAGAAGGAGATTCCAGGGACTGCTGAAGCTAATGTCGGGTTGATAAGCCACGAAGTTGTACCTGTAGATGTCGTCAGCGACAGGCCTGGCTTGCGTCCCATGCGCAACCTATGCGGAAGCTATGCTGAGAGTTGACATGCAGCCTCCCCGCTCCGATGCCCCACGGGAGACCAGCCGTTCAGCCGCGTCTGACTGCCCGAATCCAAATGGCCACCGAATAGCAGCTAACGTAGCGTGGCACAACCTGCAGAGCTGTCACTGAGCCCGAGGCCATCCTGACTACACGAATGCCGACGTGGAAAAATTGTGCTCGAACGTACGCGAGAAGTTCGACTGGAGCGTTCGGCAGAACTTTCGTCATACTCTTCCACTACAAAAACGTCACTCCCCTACCGTCACCATGCTTCTGCTGAACGGCGCTCGCCTCTCGAAGGGGCACGTGCACCTTGCAGCCGCCTTGTTCCTGGTCGCTTGTCTCGGTTTGTACCTACAGGTACCGAGTGGTCAACGTGCGATCGCCCTTCGACCCTGGGATTCGGCCACGAAGACGACTCCAGACAAGCTGGGTATACCAAGCGCATCTCCAGCCCCCGCCGAGGACAGGAAGCAACGGAGCAGTCCCAAATGCGACGATCATCTTCACGCGGGTTACCTTCGAGCGTTCGTCGATCGAGCCACCGAATATTGTGGTTCGGGTTCTAGCGCCAACATGACATGCCTGAGTCACACCGTATATGAGAAGACTGACGTTCTCTGCTTCGCTGGACCCGCTCGCATCGACGTGCCGCAGAAGTCCATCCGTCTAGGGTGCGAGCTTCGGGAGTGGAAGGAAGAAGATGCCGCCGGTGGCATACCTGTGTTTGACCAGTTCCCCGTGTACTGGTACAACACAGGACCTGGTGTCATCTTCCGAGATCACATCGAACTCGAGGACATTCGAAAGCAAGGGTCTGAAGGATGGAACAATCAGGTGGAAGATCATACTATCCTCGTCCAGCGAGAAGGTCATGCCAACACGTGGCATTCTTTGATGGAAATCATGTCTTTAACTATGTCACTGGACATCTTGCGTGAGACTATGAATCCACAGACTGGACTCCCAAGCTTCACCGATGAAGATGCACGGACAACACAGCTGTTGATACTCGACGATCATCCGGACGGGCCGTATTTTGACCTATGGTCGTTATATGCTCACAAGCCACCGGTCAGATTCTCAACATTGCCTCCAACAGCATCTTGGTACAGCAACATCATTATTCCTCTCGCCGGGAGTAGTAATCCTTTCTGGCAGGCCGAATGGGTCAGCTACAACTGCGGCGAGTCTGTCCTCCTGCAGACCTTTTCTCAGCGCTTGTTGTACTTCTACCAGATTGCGAACAGCGCGCCCAGATCGACAAGGCAGCTTGTGTTGACATTCGTCGATCGCAAAAAGAGCCGCCGATTGCTCCAGAAAGTCGAGTATCTCGAGGCGTTGGAGGCCAGATTTCCGCACATGACCATCCGTCTTGTGGACTTCGCCGAGCTAGACCTCGCTGATCAGATCCAGATCGCGCACTCTACGGACATCCTAGTCGGCGTACATGGAGCTGGTTTAACGCATGGGATGTTCCTACCCCATAGATCGGCGATCGTAGAGATACAACCACCAGGGCTGGTCAACGTCGGCTTTGACCTGATGGCCAAATCGCTCGGGCACCGGTACTACTGTCGTCACGGGAGTGAGCACGACTCATCCGACAACACTGGCGACTGGCACCAGGATGACGTTTTCTTGGACAAGCACACCTTTTTGGACGTGGTTTCAGCCGCGATCAATGACGTACTTGAATCTGACTTACCACGGCGGGTAGCCTAGGTCGTACTTCGAGACCTAGCTGGTGGTAGCGCACGTTGTGTCTAACCTATTAGCTGTCGAGCATAGATCGTACAGCCAGGCCAGAAGTGCCGTTTCTCCGGGTTGCGCAGAATCGATCAAGTTGCCGCTCGCTTGCTGCGAAACGGAGTTGTGGGCGGGAGTTATGCCGTGCGCACCAGTTCGACAACGGTGCAGCAGCAGATGGTCTTCTATAGTGCTCACGTTACGGTAGGATTGAATGGGACTACGGGTCAACGCACGAGGCCTTGATCGGACCACGATTCGTCCATTCTCAGTCACGTGATTTCACTGCCGTGCACATCGCTAGTCGGGCATTCATGTCACGTGGTCCAGCATGCTCACGTCACCCACCGACACGGGGAGCAACTACACTATTAAATTCTCATCACAGGATACAACGGCTATAGATCGATCGTGCTATGCTCCTCTTCCGGAGTACGTCCACCCGAGACTAGGAGTCAACATCTCTCATTCTTTCGTAGCTCTCAAAGAAGACCAGCGCTTGAAAACTACGAATGGGCAACATTCAATATACCTCGGTACGCAGCTCGGTTTGCCGAATTGGTCTTTCGCGGACACGCAAAGTATTTGAAAGGCGCTGTTGAACGGGCAATCATATCTGCGAGTTGGTGGGGTTCGAGGTCGTTCGTTACAGTGCCGTGACCCGCCGAGCCGTCAGTGGCACGAAGAACTCGAAAATGCACTCGAGCTGTTCACTGTGCTCGAGTAAGGTGCGCTTGTACTGCTCGGGAGACTGATAGAGGACGAGTTCGTGATCTCAGCACCCGTGCTCCGTCTAGCGGATACACGCGTTCCAGTACCTGCATTCGACTGGGATGGCGTCCCTGCAGACGAGTTTGCTACTCCGGCTACCTCGTGGTACACTTTGAGGCCTCGGATGGACCAGTATGCCTCTGTGAAAGCATTTGGATTCTGCTCCACGTACTCCTCGCAGGTCTGCCCGGTCCGTGAGGCACACTGACCGCCCACCCAGTCCGCACCCGCCCAATCTCCGCAGAACGTAGTGTCAAAGACCATCTGCAAGTCTCGGAAAGATGTAGACATGTCACAGTCCCCACGGAACTGTGCCAGCGGACTGCCCCAGAGCTGCGGGTCAGGTGAGCCCTCCCGCACATCTGGCGGGATGACGTGGCGGGGGAAAAAGTACACCGAGATCGCAGTGCTTGTCCACCACGTTGCGTAAATCCCTCCGCCAATATCGTTGAAACGCCCTCCATAAGTCATCGTGTCCCTCGCGGCAATCTGACAGCCTTCGTTGCTTTCGGGCCAGCTACTGCAATCCGTCAGCGCGAGCGAGCCGTTGTACGCCGACTGTCCCGTGTCGGTCGAGCAGCCTGGGCCGGTGTGTAATGTCATGGCGTTCGTCTCCTGAGTATTTACACCCTCCACTATGTCTATCTCGCCGTGCGTCGGCCAATCCGGACCGACCATCCAGAAAGCGGGCCACGTGCCACAAATCCCTCCTGGCATGTGTTCGATATCGACGATGAAAAGGCCGAATTGATATGACGATCGGCTCGTGATACGTACACTGGCTCGCCCCTGTGAAGCGAAACTGTCGCTGTCCACCCGCATTCGGGCCTTCGTTGCCGTGCTGTCGATGAGCCACCCCTGGGCGTTTTCCCTCGCCTGATACTGAACGAAGCCATGAGTCGGATCGCGGCTATCCCAGAACGTAAATCTGTCAAAGAAGTCGCCTTCTGCGAAGTAGTCCTCGGTCAATGAGAAGTCGGCGATTGCACTGGTGAGCAATGACAACCATACGTGCAGTCGTAAGACGTACATTGAGAACGAGCGCTTCGATGACCCCCCGCTGTCGGGGCGAGAGCAGACCCAGGTTTACATATACACGGTTTCACAACATCACACCAACCATCTTTGCGGACCATCTGATACACGCTTACCTGGCGAAAGCGAACCCCTTCCCCCGGCAAATCTGCGTGGACTCATGTCGTTGTGGCGTCATTCTCGACTCTCCACCCTAAGCGAGTTGAGACAAAACCCACTTGAAGTCCTGCTGGCCCCTCGCAGCCCTAGGTGTTGCACTGTTCGGTCGCCCGAGGAAGTTAAATAGTTCGACTAGGAGACTGGCCAGAACAGGCTGTCATGCGTGGTATCGCGAGAACCTCAACTAGACTGCACCGGGTTGTGTAGAGTCACCTTGCCTTTTGGTCCAAGGGGGATATCACGTACACCCGAAAGCGGTGCACCTGCGAAAAAGGCTGGAACATGCATGACCAGGGGGGTCGCAGAAGGGTTCCTCGGGTATGCCGCTGGAGGTCCGCGTCTGCTCACGAAATGTATAAGACAGCCTGTAGTCTCGATCCTAATGCAAGCCGTCAAAACGGTTCAAATACATAACGATCAACGTATCATGCTGAGACGAGTGCTGCGCGCAGCTCCAGTGTTTACATGGCTCGTTCGCCTGACGCTTGGCACAGAAACCAACATCTCGGGTGCTTCGTCCAGTTACAGAGCGGTTTCCGAAATTGACAAGAACGATGTGGTGCTCAGCCTCTACGAAGGTTGCATAGAGAGGGTCGCGGGTGACCTTGTTGCGAGCCAAAGTGTCTGTGTGGCGCGGCTCCTGTCCCACATGCTCCAAAGCATCGCGACAGTCGCCGAAGATTACCACTTGGTGACTGAGGCCAGAAATAACGGTTCTATCACTACTTCGGCTGCAAATGCTCGCAGAGGCGTTCCCTCGGAGCAACGGGGCTCGCAAAGGCCCGAAGAACGGATGGAAATCCGTGCCACCGATACTGGGAAGCCAAGCACTCACCTGAAAAACGGACAAGCGCATGAAATGAACGTTCGTCGGGACGACACTTCACTGTACATTCACACGAATGGCTCGCATGCCGTCGCTGGATTCGGTAGCGACCCCGAAACCTCGAGAGCCAAGAGGGACGAGGAGGGTGATTTCGCATTCACCATTGTGCAAGGAGTCAAGATTCAAGCACAAGGACTGGAGGGGAGCCGGCCGGACGGGTGTATGCAAGACCTCATTGCTTACGCATACTCGATCGCATTTGCAATCCAGGACTTCAAGTACAGTAACTCGTGGAGATACGCAGTTTGCGACAAGGTGGGCAAAGAACTTTTCTATGGGAGGATCGTAGTAGAGATCGACGCTTTCGACGCCAGCTTCGAGACTGTGGAGTCACCGGGCTGCCCACCAGCGTCTCAATAGTCGACACGATACGGTGGATTGTATTCTGGAATGGCTGAGATAGATCGAAGTTCTGTGGCGGATGCACAGTCTGTAGGGCTATTGCAGAGGATTGAAAAACGGGCTCGAGGACTCGCAAATGCTGCCGGTGTAGTAAGCCGCCGGGGACGCGGTTTCCCCCCACTTCAGTGTGCATCTTAACCTCTCTATGTACCAGATGATCCGCCTGAAGCAACTCCTGAATACCATGCATCCCCACACGCCCTCGTAGAACGGTGATCATTTGGTGGAGTCCATCTTTTCGTCACGGAAAGACCACGTTGACGGAACGCGATCCCACATTCTTCAAGATATCTCGCATATGCTTACATCGTGCTCTTTCCCTTGGTGGCTATGTTAGTTTTCCAGCCTCCATGCGCCATTCCATTATCCAACGTGCACCACACTCGTCGATTTGTAGAGAGAACAAGCCTTCTCTACTGATGGTCCGACTTGCAGTTGCGTTTGGCACGAATTGCCGTCTTTCGACCGCGAGGGTCAAATTTTTTGGACGGTATCCGAAGCTTCGACGGAGACATTGGTCTGGGCTATTGTATTGCGGCTTACTCTCGTGAGCTAATCATACGGGCGTTCTCGACACCTGCAATTCCTTTTATCGTTCCTCATTTATCTAACACCAGCGTTCCGACGGATCAGACAAACACACTTTCCTCGTAAACGCTACGCAAATGCCTGACCTCATCCACCGGTCAAACCAGCTCACCTCTCGCCGGCATACTACCTTGCAGTTCCGCCGTCTGCCCTCGAGGCGCAGCCAATTGCTCCGCCTCTGGGATGGGGTAGTGACGCGACAATGTGCTCAGAGGCGGTCCGTTGGAACTGTCCCGTGGAGCATCGAGCTCGCTCCTGCTGCTAATCTCTTTCGACTGAAGTGCTCCAGAAGGAGGTCCAGCTCCACACATTTCAGCAACATCCTCCCTTCTGTAACATTCGTTGCGTTTCTTTCTTTGACGCTTGATGCGGACGCAGTAAGCAATGGCCGACGCGAGAATGAGAAAAGAGATTCCGCCGACCGCCGCGCCGATGACGTGACCACGATTTACGGTATCTCCGCCAGCTGCTGGGTGGTTTCCATCGGCAGCCGGGGTTACGGTGACGACCTGCGTTACGGTGGAGGTGGAGCCACGTTCATTAGTCCGGACGCTGACACGAGTGGCCACCGAGTGCAAGGTGGACGCCTTCGTCCGTGATGGCGGTCCAGACGCTGATGTAGACAGCTGGCTCACTGTGGTACGGGAGCGAAGGAATGTGCTACCTGCGGAAGGTCAGCCCCGTCACGGCTGCCACTAATACGCCCGTCGATACCATCGGCCACGGTGGGCGTTTTGAGCACTTTCAGGGTCGAGGTAGGCGAAGGGACGGTCGAGATAAAGGCGATCGGACTCGGCTTCGGTAGGTCGAAGAAGTTGGTGTCGGCCACCGTACAGCAGTTGAAGCTGACTATAATGGGTGTCAGTGTGGGTAGGCTCTTTGCGATTGTATCTGCCTTGCCTCGATCTGCGTCACAGCACCACTTCCCGTTGGAGCACTGTAGTATCTGCAGAGGGGGTCAGGCTCGACGGATGGAGCTATTAAAATTCGCGTGGCTAATCGAGAGGTAGAAAGGAACCGATCCACTGACGGCTTCGTTGCCTCTATCGCAAGCATCAGATATCCATAGACAGACTTCTGTGTAGTACTTACGAGGCAGTATTGTCATGCGTGCAAATGTGAGGGCAATCCGGCGACTGCCAATCGGGATCCGTACACGTGTATCGCCCATAGTACCCAGCGTTCTCCAGAAAGCATAACCCGTTGGACATGCACTCCCAGTTCAGCGGACAGCATTGCCCGCCTCGACTCGAGCACGCTGCATCCCCTGCTATCGAGAGAGAGCCGTCCGGGTAGTAACAATTCTGCGCAAATGATCTCGATTTGTACAAGCCACGTGCCAGAAAGATGGCGAGAACTACACGGTGGACCATCTTGGACGTCGCTCTGTGCATGTTTTGATGAGCTCCGAGATTAGACAATGTGATGAGAAGACTCGAAGTGGGGTTGAAGTGAGATATATGCCCTCGCAGCTTGCGAGTTCCTGCCGTGGCGTCATTCTGGCTTGACAGTGCGGGTCATTCAACGAAAAATGATTAGCAGCGTGCGATAGACCGCATTGACTGCTGTCTCGTCCGACAGAAGCGATAGAAATCGAACATTGCCGAGAGACACGAGCTTCACGTGGGAATCGCATCGCTCATGGAGTTTATTCAAAGCGTACTGAGCTCCGTCCACAGTCTGGTAGACAGGTCCCGTCATTAAATTGAACACACAGCTCTGCCACGATGGTGGCAACAAAGCAGGCTGAGCGCTCGTGATTATACCGTATCAACGAGTGGCCGTGTCGCGTGGGCGGCGGTGCCTGACAGCCCTCTCTGGGCTAACCGTCGTCGCGCTTGAACTACGTAGCTAGTTTTTCTAGCGTGGACTGACCTACCTTCTTTGACTCACTGCACTTCAGCTTGTCGCAGCTGGTCCGGTCTTTGACACTGTGTTGAAACAGTACGGTGGCTTATTGCTTTGTGCCTTGCGCAAATTCAGCATGTCCGGAAGCCTCCCATCGGTGCAAGATGGACCCGGTGCTTGATACGCCAAATGTATCTCGTGTCGGAGCAGCACACATCTTTGGAATGCTCAAAGCTCTGGACCCTATTATGACGATCTGGATTTGACATTCGAATGAGTTGATCAAGATTCAAGAGGGGGGATGCAGCTCCTTGAGCGAGATCACTCTTGTCGATCTCGAACGGGAAGGTATCTTCGAATCTTCCGCGAAATTGTGAAACCTCCTCGACAGGATGCTATAGACACCACGCCAGAGGTTGCCGAAAGTTATTCCGACATATCGAAGGAAATGGATGATGAGGTTGTATTGGCTGGCAGCGGCGCCCTGGTTAGAGGTGAAAGGATACTCCACAGCGCTGGGTGAACGATGTTCCGAACAACTTCTCCGACACCGACCTAAGCTGCGTTGAAAATCCTCCAGGCGAGCAGAAGTTCTATAGTAATAGGCGAGAACGCAGGGAGTTCACAGGGATGGGTATCCACCCCCGCGAGTCCTCCGGGAAGGTACTTGTCCAACATGGCCCGGTTTTGGAAGAACTCTTCTTCATTGTTCCGGTCGTCGGGTTCCCACCCCGGTTCGTCTCGGCCGGTTGTGAGCGTTCGAGTTTTGCCTCCTTCCTCTCGCCACGCAAGCTGTTTGAACTCCTCTCGGCGCTCTTCATCCATACCCGCTGACAACGGCAAAGGCAGGTTGAACTCAAACAATCTGCTGCCGTCATGTCCGAGCCAATGGATGATGACATTGGTCCATTTGTGGGTGTGGCGTTCGTCGAAGCTGAAACCGCGCTTCTTGTACTTTGCCACGGCAGCGAGGACACCCTCTGGATGCTGACGGTTGTCCGACCAGAGATAAGCGCGCTGCTGCACTGCTTTTTCGTGATACATATGGAACATCCCGTACGGCGTAATCGCACACTGCACGTGGGATGCGTGAAAGGCCATTATATGTTCTAACGGAGTGCGGCCTTTTGCGAAGATCAGCTGGACTTTCGTTTTCTTGCCGTAGGTGGTATGGCCGGCGACAAGAGAGGTGCCAAGTCCATACCCTTCGAAGTCGTGGCCGTCGATAGTGAGCGTTCCGTGTTCCCCAACTTTCTCAGAAATCGACTTGTCAGCTCGACGGCCATCAAGGAGGCCGCATATTGATTGCAGTACGGCACCGAGTTGTTGGGAAGGGGGCTCCTTGTAATACATGCCCAGAACCTTGGCCCGATGCATGTGGATGCATATCGGCGTTTTGGCATCGAGTAGAGTCTGAATCTGGTCGAACGGGTCTTCCCACACCACACCTTGCGCCTCGAGAAGCCGCATACTTCCACCTACGCATTGTTTGTTGTAGTGCGTGTAGAAGTCCAGGTCCGAGTCTCCATCGCGCGTTCCGGGGACAAAGATATCTGCGGCGGATGAGCCGGAGAACCACAGATGGTTCTGGGCCATGTCTTCGAACAGGGATACCGGAAACGGAAACCATCTTCCGAGGTGGTGTAGAGCTCTCACGGTGGGTTCGGACAGATTGGTCGCTGAACCATATTCTGGACCTTCCCTCTTCTGCAAGAACTAGAGTATGTCAGACACTATGTACCACGGAGCCCGTTCGAGGCACTCACCGAAGCCGCAGATTTAGCGTGCAAACGGACCATACTTGCTGAACCCACGTCAGTATGCAACGATGCCCTCCTTGTGCAAAATTCAGACGTGTATGCTCGAAGCTGCTGAGAACTAATCGAATAAAAAAGCGCACAAGGCGGCGCACAACTCTCCTTATATTCTCCCAGTCACTGGGCCGCCAAGGGGACTGACCCTCGACCTGGCCATGTCGAGATACAGTCCCAGCCGTGCTCCGCCACCAAGAGTGCTCGGCTGATAGAGGAGGCTTCACCTTTGGATGTACAGTGGCGCCATGTCATACTGGACGAACAGGAGATGGTGGGCAGACCTCCGCGAGGCCGTCCATCAGCAATGGCCTACTGAGGAAATCTGTGATGGGGGATAATAGAGCAAGGATGGACTGCGGCTGATGACCGAGCGAGAGATAGCTCCGCCGCCGAGCAGCGGTCGCCTACAGCCGGGAGGAGTGAATACGGGAGCGCCGTGCGCGGCCCACACAGGTTGTTTAGACCTCACCTACGCTATGAACGACCATTACTACCTTTTGCAGCTGTACTTCTCTTACCAAGAGAGGTCTACATGCTCCCTGGTCCACAATGCTTCTAAAATGGATCAGACTATGGTCGTTGGCCGAACAATCCAAGAAGATGTGGGTGAGTGCCGCGGTGCGGCCGACTCTCCACGCAACGTTATCATATCTCAGATCAGCGCGACTAATCCAAGCCTGTACTCATGTGATGAATACGAAACGAGAGCGGAGGGATTCGGTTCAAGCATCGTCGATCATAGCGATGCTAGTATGCACGTTACACCCACTCGCGCGAATAGTGCTGCAGCAGGAGCACTCTTCGTAAGGTCTGCGGTCCATAGTTGTCCGATCGCCGACGATCCGCCGTCTACACTACCTGGCCCTGCAAGATCTGAACCGTTCGCAGTCACGTCGCAATTCCAACCCACGCTTGGCGTCATCTGCGGTCAACCGAGACGGGTTTTGAGCGGCTATATAAGCGTCGCGGAACCCCTCGCCATTCCCAGCGGAGCAGAGGTGAACGCTCTTCTTCCATCAGGGAGCCATGGCTAGAAACGATCAGACGCAACGGTCTCAAATGCCGGCTCAACGACTCGAGCAAGTCTTCTCCGGGTTTCCCGGATTGAGGAATCTCAGAGGTGACGACACGCGAGACGACCCGACCTTCCAAGAATACATCGACCAACGTTTGAGAGAAGCAAGCGGCATGACGTCCATCAGCTGGCATGGTAGGTGAGTGAAAGTTCCACGTGAGAGAGTAGACCATGCTGATATTTGCGAAGATGAGTGGCCAAGGACTTCTGCGAATCACCCCGAAATTATCTCAACTGAGGATGTGTCGCAACGAGCCACTAGAAACGTCTAGTCAGTGGTGGACAATCCGTCAAGAGGGCAGAGATTTGATGTAGAGACTCGTGAGTCGTGCCATCCGGAAAGGGGGCGCGGAGCACGAGGACATATAGAGAGGTCTTTGTTTGTTGGAATGAGTCGTCGTCAAAATGTCGATGTTGGGGTACCGGAGATGGACATTGGGAAAGTGGGTCAGCGAAGCACTCTCGAGCTCTTATTTGGCGATGAACCGTGCGATTGATGCTTGCATCTCGAAGAAGATAGCATTGACTGAGTGACGGCCGGGGGGGGGAGGGGTCTCTTCATGTTCAGGGGGGTCTTCGTGTTCTGCAAATAATGTATCAAGTGGCATTACTGTCTCTGTTCTTGACAGTCAAACCATGTTGCTGACAAAAATGAGCTGACGTTGCACCAGGTGCGACCAAGGTCGTTGCCTGCTGTGCTCGGCCGGGCTCGAGACGACCGACTACGTCAGACCTGGTTTGGCTGGTATGCATGTTCGTTGTTGCCGGCCACACGTCCACTCGTTCCCAAGCAAATCATTCTCTTGATCAGAAACCGTGAATTCGTCGAATTATCGTGCTTTGGAAGACGCGCCAGCTCGTGACGAACTCTATTCCCGTCTGCAGCAACAGGCACAACATTTCCTTTCTAAGCTTAATTTCGACCGCTTGCCGCATCAACCATGTGTTCTGGTCGGCTCTTGCGTTCGGCAGCAACGCACGACTCGGGCCCCACCCGATTTCGACCACCGAACAGCAATTTGCTACATGTCGATGTCCTCGTCCTTAGCCGATATCTCGTAGTACCGCAGGTTTGTACTTCCCATGGAAGTGGATGGTTCCCGTTATCACCCTCCGCGTCTTCGAATCAATCTGATTGCCGTCGAGCGCGATCGGGATGTCCCCGCAGGCGTGGAGAAGGCCACTACACCCCCTGACCACGCTGTTGTACGCAGTACGGGAGATGACGTCGAACGTGGTGATACCGCATTGGCCATTTGTATGATACGTATCACGGAGGCTGGCAAGAGCCGTCGGCCCGATGTGTCCCACGAGGTGAATAGGATAAGCCGAATTTCCGGCGACGTGGCAAACCAATTGCCTCGGGATGTGTGTCTCCTCACAATATCCCGTGATATGGAGGTGTACGAAGGGGGTCTACCGTCCTGTCAGCTCTCCATGGACACGTCGCTGTAGTGTTGAGGGACACTCGCTTCTCTGACACCGCCATCACCAACAAGCAGCAGCTCAACTGTGGGTATGCTTTGGCTCGTCGACGAGCTTCGCGAGGACTGGCAAACTGGACATACGTCTCCTGCCGCCCGATGCGGTCTTGTGCCTTGTGCAGGCATTCAACTACGCGGCTAGCTATGTCATGGCTCACCAGTACGATTCAATCAATTCGTCACGCGAAGCAGGGCTTTTGCGCTTTGATCATCGGATGCACAGCATACAGCACCCAGCTTTTGCCAGCTGAACGAGCGTCTCACCATCCCACAACACCTTCAAATGAAAAGCAAAGCACACTTCCTATACATTCCGTCAGCGCAAGAAGCAAATCCCTCGGCCTACGGACTCGTCGAACAGTCTCAAATGCTGTAAACATACTTGAGAAGCATTGGCGAAAGTGGCGCAGTCACCAAGTACCCCATAGCAACTCCCGATCTGATTACATCCCAAGTGGTCTGTCTGGGTTCATACGCATATCATGAATGCAGTTCTAACACGTATCCGCAGGTATAGGGGTCGGCGGATGAATCGGATAGGTCGTTCGCAGGCATGGCTCATAGATGCTCCACCCAGGACCGCACCGCGGGCTCGCAGGTCAAAGTCACCGACCGGCTGGCGACAACAGACGAGGAAAGGCGACCTCATATCGCAGCTGCAGAGGCTTTGTGTCGGATGCGCCAGCCGCGCATCCGATATGACAGCGAGACCGGGCTCCTAGCCATTGCTTATAGCGCGCTCTTCTCGCGAGCTCCTGAGTTTTCGAACTTCCTGGATACGTGGATTCCAGCCCAGCTGGCAGTGTTAGGTGACGCTTCCTTGGAGGTTTCCCTGCTTGCGGATCCGAGCCGCCCTGTGAAGTTTCACTGTGAGATCCGGAGCGAATCTGAGCTTCGCCTGCTCTGCAAATGCATCAGTCTCACGGCGACTTCCTGCGAATATGAGATTTCGATATGGGTGACGCTCGACGATGTCACATTGCTATCATGGTGTCTGGAGGAAAGTTGGAAAGCTGCTCTGGGCCGTACCGACTGGCGGTGCCACATAAGTTTTCACTTTGAAATACTCGAGCTTGTCTTGGGAGATCGCATTCCAATCACCTCAACACTGTCGCCGCACGCCATCCAATGTGCAAAAGACATAGTCGCCTGGTTGGACGTGAGCGGCGGCGATCATGCTACGGTGCTTACGGCAGCTGGCCTCGGCTTGGTCACCAGTGCTGCAGAACTGCGAACCCCCTCTATCGATACGTCATTCTACGGCCGGCCTGGTAATAGGCACATACCGCGCGATAGCGCCCCAGAGGGTTCCGAGACACCGAGCGTTGGGGACGACGGAGGTGACAAGTGGATGGAGCTCGACGTAACATCCGCTCCGTCGTCCACGGAGTGCGATGGCGACTGTGTGCTAGATGCTGAATCTCCCTCCATACACGAGCCGCGTCGGTTTGAGCCTTTGGTGGGTAAGAGAACCTCGCCACCCGACATGAATGAGAGCCGTCAAAGGTCGTGATGGGAGATGATCGATGCGCAGATGAGGTTTCCTGGCATGTATAAGCTCGGCCGTACACCACACTGCCATTGACGTTGAGCATCTTCGAGTGACTTTGCAGTCGGCATTACGCAAGACGGACATTTTCCTAGCGCAAGTCCTGGTGTGAGGTTCTGTCCTCAATACAATCATAGCAAGACATATAGCCAGGCGCTTGGCTTGGAAAGCAACCTAACGAATTTCAGCTTCCGAACTGGTGGCGACTCGACGACCAATTCATCAAAGGACCGGGGTCGAGCAAGATCCGACCGGTGTGGTGGGTGGGTGAGGTGATCTACGTCAAGCGATGAAGCTTGTCCGCCGGCAATGATCACATGACAATGACGTAGATCTTCGCGCCTTAGAATATATATGCGAAGGTTGCGAAAGCTTTGACTAGTACAATGTACAGGGAAAAGGCACGGAAAAAACATTCTTACGTGAAGTGGCGCTCTCATTAGCTGTACAAATGTTTCGCTCCAGCCCGCCGTGCATTCCACGGCCCATTCTGTTGATCCCCAACTGCCAAGCCACATTTCTCTGTCGGGATTTCACTCACAAGCGACGGCGAGCTTGACTTGCGCTCCCCCAGCGCTTGGCTGTCTTTGCCGTTGTCGATGCGCCTCCTTTCCTCTCGTTGTAGAGTAGCTGAAGAAGGTCGTTTCAGAAATCCTCGCTGCCCCGGACAGACACAGAGCAAGGATCCTCAACCTCCCGCAAGCTCTGGCAACGCACAGAAAAAACATGCTGCAGACCGCGATGCGTGATAGGCTGGCCAGGAGGGCGTCGAGGTAATGTATGGTACCAACAGCGTAGAAGCACCATCGAAGGAACCAAAATTTGTCGGGTACCTCGCAATACAGGTCCACCATGGATCCGATTAAAATCAGTAGGGTGTTCATGTTGTTCCTGTTGGATCTGCTGATGTGTCGAAAACAGCGGTACGTTGGTGTATGATCCGCTCGAGGCTGGAATTGTGAGCGTGCGTGCCCTCTTATACACACGAGCGTTCCGCGATCGACAACCGCCTTACGCTTGTGGCTGTCAACAACACGGTGTGCGTCATCAATCGGGAGTGTGTAGGTCTGGAGCGCGACTGGTCCTTGGTATGACCAACATCCTTCCCGGGCGAGCAACAAGGGAATGAGAAGGACGTCTGGCACTCCGTGGACTGCGACCCGCGAGGCCAACGACACAACAGGGCGTACGGAGTGGTTGCTCTGGGCTCGGATGAGCATATCGCAGCGAGGCACGTTCTCGCGAGCTGACATTTAGGTGAGTTCGAAAGGAACCGTAGGACTTTCCGCAAGGGGGCGTGCTCCACGTTTGATGCATCGACTCTCGAGCAGTAGAATTTGCTTCAGGAGGTGGGACGCTCAGGACTGCAGCACGGGGACTTCTAGGTACGGGTGTGTGTATATGAGTGGTGGCAGTACCACATGAGCAACAGACTGTGTACTAGAGCGTGGTATGTTTGGCGTGGTGCATAAATGATTGTCAAGCTCGAGGACGCTAGTCGCTGCAAACGATGCACTCGTCTTGCGAGTGAAATATGGAAACAACTGCTGCGCTCCTGTTGCGATTTTGGAAATGTCGTTACCTCCCCGTGGCTAGCACTAATGGCGTCGCTGATGGGGGCGGTGTTACTGTATTCTATTTCCTCTGCGGTATTCCGTCGTCTCCCGTGGCCCGCCGCCATCGAAGCCCATTTCATTTGGGCGCCGCACGTTGGTGGTACTCAACAGAACTTGCTGCGATGGAGATCGGGCGCTCACGCCGGTGGCCATGTCTGCGAGTGAAAGGGTCAGGCTGCTGTCTGTAGCACCCACCGTTGATAGGCTTTACCCCGAACGTTTCTGCAGGAACGCCTTTGCCCTGAAATGGCCGCCTTGCGAAGCTTCCTCGATGTCCTCGCTCCACGCTTCCCAAGTAGCGGCGCTGTCGTGGCCGACCAGATAGTAAGAACCGTTGTCTGGAACCAGTAATCCCAATTCCCAATTCTGGTCTATGTAGTGTTCTCGTTCCACTTTCTGGAAAAGGCTCCGGACTGTGTCTCCTCTCTCAATCCAGAACAGCCTTCTGCGCGAAACTTTCCGGCAACGCAAAAATGATCTTGTACTTCATGGGTTCCTCATATGGTCGATGCACGCCAGTCCCACTGCCTGGCCCTCTGTCCTTGAGCACTTCTGGCGACGGCCTTGCTCGGTGCAGTACGTCGCTGTATGGGACGGACAATTCAGCAGGAGAATTCGGAATGCTGTCTGGACGGGTGTCGGATCCGAAACTGTCGGGTACTTGCTTGCGCTTGCGATTCGAAAGCATTGTCAGCTGATCGAGGTAATCCTGCTTGCGACGTTCGCGAGTCTTCTAAGCATGGGAGTGTGCTATATATTTCCGGCAGGAGTGCGAATGAACCAAGAGGAAACGGACCCTATCCGCCGATCAATGCCACCCACTCAAACGCAAAGGGCGCAGTAAGGGGCTTGTCCGAAGGCTGCAGCCCATCACAGCTTCGGGGGTGACGCTCAAACACTGACGTCAGGGCAAAATCCTGGCAACTTCGTTTGACAGGAATCGATAGAAGACGGTGGACAAGCCTTCAACACTTCTTCATCCCCATTTGTGCATGAACACATCAGTCCCACGCCCACAGCCACCTATCCCAGACCGGACGTGACCAGTCCACACGATGGCAAGGGGGAGCGTATTCATGTCTGCAATGGATAAGGATAGAATAGAAACAGTGATCGCCCCATGGCGGTCATCAAATCAACAGCCAGCTTTCACCTTCGACCAGCTCGTCGCTATAGCCACCCGAATGATGGACGACAATGAAGCGTCGGAGGCTCGTATCGCAGACTGGATCTCGGCTACCTTTCCGTTCTATGCCAAGTCCACAGAACAAATTCACAAGGAGCGCTTCGACTCTCGCGACACACCGGATGCAAATTCATCAGCATTCGACTTTTTCGCATTGTCGCCGGAACTGAGAAACGCCATATACGAAATGGTCTTCTCATACGGCAAGGCCGGACTATTTGTTGGGAGCGACAAGTTTGTGACAACGAGCACGCTCTGGGATGGATGTCCCAGGATTATATGGCCACCTTCACTTGACGTAGGACCATTACAGATCCCGGGGAAATTCTTGGTTTTGGAAGCCCTGCTCGTCAGCAAACATTTCTACGTCGAAGCTATGCCGGTGTTCTACCGAGTAAACCTCTTCCACTGTGGAGAAATTTGGAGCCTCTGCGACACTCTAAAACACCTGGCCCCATGTAGGGCACAGCACTTAACCCACCTCTCGTTTCACTACAAGGGCACCGAGAGCGGCGCAGCCGAGGCTTTCGCCCTCCTGGGTCAGCTGGAGCACCTTCGCAAGCTCGACATCCATGTCTTCGAAGACTACTGGCTCGTCAGGGGGAGGCGCTCTGGACAGGAAGAGGACAAGGTGCATGTGGGGTCCTCGGTTGTCTACCTGGAAGGCTTGGCCAACCTGCGAGCCATCAGGGGGCTACATGTCGTGTCAGTCGGTAACAGTCCAACGCTCGAGCAGGAGCTGAAGCCAGACATGCTGAGGCCAAAGGCCAGGAACAGTCCAACGCTCGGGCGGGAGCCGACGCCAGACGTTCCTAGGCCAAAGGCTTGGACTTTTGACGACCACGACAGCATCAAATCTCTGAAGCAGAGAGTGATAGAAACGAAGACGAGAGAGGCAGAGAGGGTGGAGAAACTACGAACCACAATGTTGAGCTGGAATGTCGAAGCGTCGAGGCTTAAGGCAAAGGCAGAATACAGCGACGACGATGAAGAGGAAGAAGATGGAGATTGGCTCCCATTGAGCTCGGAGTATTTGGCATATGCCCGGGCTCCAGATTCGTGAGCAAAAGCAGGGATGTTTTGCGCAAAACCAAAATCAGAGCACATACGTTAGCGTCGAACGTTGGACGGCCAATAGGACGTCAAGGGACCAGGCACGCTTGAGAACTGTCCACGGTTCTGCCAAGGAAGGCTTGTAAGGGTCCGCTGGTGCTTGAGCACTCCACCGCGCCTATCTCCACATCTCTCGAAGCAGAGCGTGAGTGTCGTGGCGGAGCGAGTGTCTTTTAGCCTACGTGCTGACCTCCTTGTCACAGGGGATCGACTACGATACCGAGCGATGCTCAGTCGCTCACGGGAAAACACCACGTCACGTCTGGTGGCACGCTTCTTGCTTCTCGTTCGTGAGTCGCCGACGATCTGCTGGTCGAGCCGCTAGAAGAGCTTCCTGCGCACAAGTGCCGTAGAGCGCATTGCACTGTAATGGTTTATGGTGCCATTTCCACGAAAACTCTACACTCGAACCACGCCATCTGCTTCCCGCCTCGTCTGTGGCTGGATTGTTTCAGACTTCATGCGCTACGCTCATTGGTGTTTTGACCATTGGAGCTAACGTATGTTGGCTGGATTGCACAAAATCTTCAATGCACGGGATGCGGGCCGTGATTACAATGGCGCATATGGGACTCCCTCTCCCGTAAAGACCCGTAAAGACTTATAACGTTGTCAATTTGTGCGGCCCGTCATCTTCATGAAGGCTGCCTTCAGACCGCTCCGCATACACACACCGGTACGAATCCGCTTCGAAAGTAACGATAACTAGGAGACCACGCACCAGCGATATGGAGTCGCCCCGCCTCATCATCGTTCTATACAAATGCAACTACTGTATTGTTCAACGCGGGCGGTGCGATGGTTAGTTGGAATCTGAGATCTCTACGAAGGTCTGTAACTGGCCTGAGACTGACTCTGCCGTCGTAGTCGTCAACCAAATCTTACAGCTCTTCATCAGTGTCCTCTGGTTGACCGTCGTTCGATGGGGTTTCATCCATGTTAGTATATTCATTGAACAATCGTTGGGACGAGCTCTGATTGAGGCCGAGTCTCTCCCGCACTTGTGCGATCCTATCATACGTCAGAATTGTAACTTCTGCCACTTTCGGACAGTCCGTCCACTCACGACATGTCTGTTGTCTTCAATCGCACTGCTGGGTCGATCCGAAAAGCTTGATCAAGGTAACGCCACTCACTGTGCTCCGGTCGCATCAGCGCCTCTGCGGCCTGCGCGACGCCGGCCTGGATATTTTCTGTCTTCCAATCGCCAATTTTGCTCTGAGAAAACCCGTGATTGGCCACTGATCCAGTCAGCAAAATCGGCAGTGGATGGAGTGGATGACTCCTGGTGGCCATTACCTGCCAATGCCGGAATTATATTGTACGCCCGCTGAGCCCCATCCCCGGCTTCCGCTCCTTCTAGTTCCAGAGCTGCAGCCAAGCTGTTGATGAGCGATATCACAATTCGTGCAATCTTACGACAACGGAACCTCTTAGACTTGTTCTCGCTATGTCCGCCTCCATCTGAGCTTGATGGTGGGCTGTTAGGTCCGGAGACTGGCACTGGACCACCCTCAGATTGACCCGCACTGCAGCTTATCTGGCGACTGCTTCGCCCTCTACTAGCGGAGAGTATCTGCTCGGAGCAGCCAAAGAAGAAATATAACCTCCATTGGTTCGTACTCGCCGCCTCTACCTGTTTCGAATAAGTTTCGTTCAGTGCTTGCGCATCGGCACATCGCTCTAGCTTCATGCCTGACCCTTTCATCCACGTTCCCCTCGAGATCTCGTCTGCCTGGAACTTGGCGGCACCGGTGATAACGGCGTTGACGAGGACACGTACTCTCCGTGCGAACGTTGTACCGCAGAACACTGCAGGCCGGTCCGCTGGTGAAGCCATGCCCTGCTCGCGGCATTGATCAGGCGTCGCGCCAGATCCCGCTATACCTCCTTCGCCTTCTCCGCGGCTGCTCACCCCACTCAACGATCGAGTGCCTCGCGGCTGGGGTACAGCAATTTTTCTCTTCACGGCCGTCGGTCCAGGCGCGGTGCCTCCGGCCGAGCTCATTCGCTTTTTGGGATTTCCATGCGGTAGGAGATCTGTTCGATCGGCTGAGGAGTGCCCATCGCCGGATGGATCTTGCTGCTCGGTCCCGACCGAGTGTGTGCGCTGGATGTCGGTTATCGCATGCTGTATATTTGGTGGGCCACCCTGCTCAGCGGTTGCGACGTCTTGCATCGGCCAATCCTCGTTACGCCTACCTGCATCATCAGCGTCGAGGGACTCTGGTGTTGGTCCTGACGGGTTCAGCACATGCGGTGTCTCTGAGTGATCCGGACCCGATGGGTGCTCAACGGGCGCCAACGCCGAGGAGTGCGCTCCTGACACTGTCGGCGGACGTCCGCTCGACGGCTGTGCTGGTGGGTCTGTGCCAGTCCGTCCTGACCAGTATAGGGCAGACGTCAACTCAGACGCGCTTGTACCCCTTATCCCCGACTGTTCCTCGTCGCTAGTCGGTTCTGGAGCACCCGGGTCTGCCAGCCGTGATGGATCTACACCAGGCGTCAGTCTAGACGGGTCTGTCGCCACCGGCCCTGCTTGGTCTGCGCCGTCCGTCGGTCCTGAGGCATACAGAGCTTGCAACGTCTGCCATTCTTCGTCCGTCATCGGATCGATATCCAGGTGCTGTAACGGGTCAATGTCAGGCGCGACCCCTGTCGGCTCCACAATGACCGTCACTTCAGATGACGCTATGTTGGCAGGTCTTGCTGGTCCGGCGTTATGTATCAGTCTCGAGACATCTTGGCCTCTCGAACCATCGTCTGTCAGGCCTGACGAATCTACCCCAGGCGTTGGTCCCGTAGTGTCTACACTGGCCAGTTCCAGCGGGCCTACACCGGGGGTCAGTTCAGGTGAGTGCATGCCAGTCGGTCCTGTTGCATCCGCGTCGGACGTCAATATTGATAGATCTGTGCTCGCCAGTTCCGACAGACCTACAGCAGGCATCAGTCCTGACGGGTCGTCGTCGGTCGGTCTCGATACGTCGACATCGTACGTTAGTCCTGGGTGATCTGCATCCGTCAATTGCAAGTCATCCGGATCTCGCCGTCCATAGTAAGGAGGATCCGTTGAGGTCGAATGATCCGGAGCTGTCGACCCTGAGCGACCAATGCCAGACGTCAGTGCTAACGAGTTTCTGCCGGCCAGTCCGACGCCAGCCACGCCAGGCGTTGACCCCGATGGTTGTGTAGCTTCTAGCCTTGGCGGATTGATGTCATGCGCCACTCTGCTAGAGGCCGACGGTTCGAACATGCCAGGACCAACCATTACACTCTGTAGCTCCCAATTCCCCAGACCCAAATTCCTCGGATGTGATTTGGCTATGGAACCAGGAGTGCGCTTTGAGACCTTGCGGGGGTTTTCCTCCATGCGAAGTGAATCGTGATTGGAAGCGTCGATTCCACGTTTCCGGTCCACATATTCGATCTCCTCCATCCTGAAGGTCCACTCTTGCGTTTGGTGCAACATTCTCTGACATTTTCCGGCCTCGGCGATCAAGCCGTTCAGTCTTTCGGTGCTCAAATCGCCCGTGCTTCGGGTATCGACCTGAAGCCGGAACGTCCAGTAATACTGGTCGACAAAATCGTTTCCAGGGACTACCCACGCCTCAACCTTGAGCCACACTCTTATAGACGTGTTTTCAATTTCTACAAAATTCGGTACGTCCTTGTGCAGTTCTCGCAAGGGCCCTTCTGGTCTCTTGTTAGTCATGACAGCGGTTGTATCATATATGGGTTCTAGAGGGCACCCATGAAAATGGTGAGCGCGGTGGTTCCAGTGGAAGGGCCCGACCTTCTGCTTTATGTATAGAGTGCTGCGTGGCTACGTGTACGTTCACGCACTGTTTGACTGATGGGGTCACCAAACACTCTCTTTACCCCTGCCTAGAGCACGGTGTATTCGTAAGTTTGTGATGTATGTTGTGTGATGTACGTTATGAAATGCGACGACGCGATGCCGTGAGAGAGGGGTCACGGTGGCAATACTGTTCAGTTAGCTACAGTGTCACTGGTATTCGACCGTCGATCTCTGGATATCCTCTGTTTTCTGTGTCTCCTCTCCGGTCAACGCGTCTTGCGTTCTCTTGAGGTAAAGATGCGGATGAGCGCAAAAGAAATGTCACTTTCCACGCCACATAGTCCCGCAGTGCCAATTTATCTTTCTCCGAGGAGCGACGAGAGGAGAGATCTGGCGAGAGAAATTGACTGCTCCCGCATCGGACTCGAATAGCGATCTCGATGATGTTGACTTTGTCGAACCCGGTCAAGCCGCGCGGGAGACGATGACTCTTGCCACGAAACGAGAACGACAGGTGCGAAGGGTTGTCACCCAGTGCTAGTTGGATCGACGGTAGTACACATGCGCCCAGAACGGGCAAGATGTCTCTGCCTCCGATACGACCCTCCACGCATCGAAACACAAGGTTCTGCGAGGCGTGAACGCGACGATCACGACCTTCCGCGTTGCTGTCGGGATATCATCGAGAATTCGTCAACGGTCCTCCTTGTCACATGCAGACACTGTTCACGATCTGGTTCACGCCCCGTATGAAGATACTCCTCCGTCATAAGCTTCTCCTCGTCAGCCATCGGCACTCCCGACGCTGGAGTCGTTTGGAATCGAATCCAATAGTATATATTCGACGCACGAAATCATGACTACATGACCGCAACGGCGGGTTGCAGTGGGTCCGGTCTCTATCGCAAGGAGCAGCACGGAACATGACCTCCTTCACCCATGAGGTGCTCGTCGCTTGCCTTGGGCCCAACCTGCAGGATAAAATGTTCATCCCGCGTATCCGCCGCTTTGACTGTCTCATTGGTATCTAGCGCGACTTCTCCACCTCCCCAGGCATGTTTTCCAGTGACGTACTGTCGTCAGGGACGAGGGAGATATGACGCAACGGGTATTGACGTAGTGCCACCGCCACTGCCTAGACCATTGCCCGTCCGCTCCAGTATTTATATGTCGGTGGAAAGGTACTATTCAGCATGGCGTCCGCGTTTTCCACCGCATCCCGTCAACACCATGGCCCGTACCAAACAGATCGCCCGTAAGTCTTGGCCCATACTTCCTGATTTCCTCAGCATTTGCTGGATCTGACATCCCGCGTGCTGTCCGCCTTGCTCACTAGGAGCCATACTGACGGACGTATACAGGCATGTCCGTAGGTGGCAAGGCACCACGAAAAGACCTGAACGCCAAAGCAGCTCGCTTAGGGCTGCCGAGGTGAGTGCTTGATGCAAGTCCGCCCGAGCCATATTGCGGTTCCGATGACAGTCATTTTAGGACTGGCGGTGTCAAGAAGCCACGTAGATACAAGCCTGGAACGGTCGCCCTGCGCGAGATACGCCGGTACCAGAAGTCGACGGAATTGCTCATCCGCAAACTTCCCTTCCAGCGTGTCGTCCGGGAGATTGCCCAGGATTTCAAGCATGACCTGCGCTTCCAGAGCTCGGCCATCGGTGCGCTCCAGGAGTCCGTCGAAGCCTATCTCGTCTCCCTCTTTGAAGACACCAATCTCTGCGCCATGCACGCGAAGCGTGTCACCATCCAGAGCAAGGACATACAACTGGCCAGACGTCTTCGTGGCGAGGGTATTGCATAAGTTGACGCAGCTTCCGCTTTGGCCGGAACGGCTACTGAGCGAGGGGTCACAGAGAGTGCTTCGTAGGCACAAGGACATGGCTCGTTTTACAATGTTTTCTGAGGTAGCTCCGATGGCGGGAAGACTGTGGGCACCGCTCTGCCAAAGCTACGCGGCCAAATGTATCGGGTACACGCTACGACAGTAATCGAATGTTGGTCATTGAGGCAGCCGAGACTCCCTTCCACATGATCGTCCCCGTAAACCAGTGTGGCATTGGGTCGACAAAATCAAGGACGAGGTTAGTAAGGATCTGGACGGTTCCAGAGGTAGTTCAAGGAGCTTTTCCGGAAGAACTCTGGACGGTATCGATATCAGGATGGGAGCCCCCGCCCACTTAAACGCCGATGAAGAGAAGGAACTACCGATTGGCGATATTCTGGTGGACGTTGAGCGGAGATGGTACGGCTTAGCGATCACTGACGGCGCGGGACATGCCGCGTTCCGTACCTTGTTATACGAGCTTTCCGGTCCTGTGGCAGGTGCACGCGCGGAGCGAGGAAGGCTTGCATATGCGGACGCTGCCGGACGAGACGGCTGGGACGGATTTTTGTAGGGGGAATGAACGGTTTCAGGGGTGATGGTGCGGACGACGATGACTATGATGTAGCTGATGGTGCATTCCTCCCTGTTGTTCTCGATGCGCTCCTCCATCAGTTCGAGGGTGGCACGGTACCCGAGCCTCGTGGCGGCACCCTAAGCTTCCGACCCGGCGAAATGAGCCCGTAGACGACACACCTTGGGAAAGATCCAGCAAAGTTTCACCTCTTGGGTAGGTGCGCAGCAAGATATCTCCTTGAGTATCACTTGAACGGAGCGATTTCATAGCTTTACAGATCATTGATGATACTGGAGGAGCTGACTGTTGGAGTCGGGATCAATGGAACACTCTCAAGGGCTGCTGAGGCCCACACTCGTTGCAATGGAAACATGACGGAAAACGTGCCGCAGCCATATCGAACGCGCTCGGCTCTATTTACAGACAGGTAGCCCGTACGAGCTCAAAGGGCTAGGTATCCCTCGTCTGGCAGTGGCGTGATCGCTGCCTCTTGCACTTCTTCCTCCAGCTTTTTTACGGCCGCTGATTCGAGCTGTACTTCGGGCGGGACGAGAGCCGGTGGTTTGACAAATTTCTGACTTGGTTGTTAGTAGAACTCGGGCGCTTCACCTCGCCGTTACACTCACGAGCGTCGGATTCTGGGTGAGCCTTCTCAAGAGTATAAGGAACGGTTTCTCGTAGTTGAAGTTACTCTTTGCAGAGAGGATGCAGATCTTCTCGCCCTGGGCGTAGCGAGCGATTTGCTCCAGGGTGATCTCCCCTGTCATGTCGACCTTGTTGCCGACAACCACGATCGGGATGTCGTATTGACGACCTTTTCGCGCATCATACGTCCAGCTAGGAATGTTGCGCAGGGTGGTGGGAGCGGTGAGGTCGAACATGATGATGGCGCACTGGGCCCCGTGGTAATACGTTTCACGAAGAGGACCGAATTTTTCTTGCCCCGCCGTGTCCCACACATCGAATTGGATCGGGCCGCGATTCTGATACATGTTTCAGCCCGAGTGCGCGAGTGTTGAGAGTTCGGATGAATGTACCGTGGCGAAGCGGAGTTGGCGCACTTCAGCACCTTGCGTGGCGATGTACGTCTTCCTGAGCTCCCCAGTCTCGTGGCGCTTGACAAAGGTGGTCTGTCGATTGTACGCTACTTTTAGCATTTGCTCCTCGCTTGGTGCCAACCGTAATCGCAGTTGTTGACCAACATGAATTAACACCATGCTACTCACCTTGCCGATCCCACCGTCGCCGATAAGCACGAGCTTGAACGTCAAGATTCCCTTCTTCTCAACCATCATGCTTATGTCCGCTGACGTGGCTACCCGGAAAGATTTTCGTTTTGCTGTGTCGTGGAAGGGAGCTTCACGAGGAGACGATCTTGCGCCCACGGTCATCGGACGGATTATTTATGCGCCTTCCTGGTAGCCTGCAGCCTGATATTCGTGTCGTTTGCGTCGTCAGCAAGGCCGAACGTGCACCGGCGAGATGCCGGAGATGGCTGGCTTGTATCACCCACCATACTCAGCTCGTTTTCGGCCCACCTTCCACGGAGATGCTGTGCCTCACACCTGCATTCGCACGGAAGGGTTGGTACGCAACGAGTCGATTGGTCCCTGTTTGCGTTTTCAAGCCGTTGGCCCTGGCCAGTCCGTTCCTCTACGCTATCTTCGGCGTGTGGCTATAAGACTCCGCCCACTCCTTGTAACCGGTGGCGACGAGACAGGATTTTGCCGGGTTGAGCGGTGTGTGGTGCACGCCCTCGACTTCAGACTGTTCGCTACTTTGCACGCTGAGCAGGCGGCTGATGGTAGACGTTCTAACCATGATGCTAACGTTACTAATATTGTTGTTGGCGGTGACGTCGGTTACGGCACCAGTGTTGTTCCCATTGGCGCCACTTCCTGCGAGATCGGACTCATGCTGTGCCCCCCATGCGTTGGGCTTCCATTCTGATTGACATGACGCTCACCAAGTCTGTTCAGCCCGGCGGCGTCGTTTGCGTTGATGACTACCAAGCTCATACGGGAAATCATGGGCGGTAGCCGCGGGATACCGGGCGATCTTTCTCTACACGACGGAACCTGCTTGTGTTGGTTTTGCCATATGTGTCTTACTAGTGCGCTGATACTACACTGCTCTTCAGACAGCCGAAACCAGTGGTGGGCGTGTATCATGCTTACGTTTGAGTAATTAGGTGCGGATGCGTTAGCAGGACAGCCTGTTGAAGCAGACTGAAGATTCTCCATCGCACACTCCTGCGGCCCCAACTCTTTCGCTTGAGGGTCTGCGTGTGGGGGGGGGAACAAGAGATCCTAGATTGCTTCGATACTAGCAGAATAATAGTACAGTTCCGAGCCTACCAGCAAGACATGCATATCACAGTACTGTGCAGACCCGCAATGATGCGAGCGACCTGGAACGCCAAGCGAATATGCGAAAACTCTCGGCAGCTGCTGCAATGAAGGTATTCCAAAGAAGTTGTAAGTCTCATCGTCAACGTTGCTGGTATCCGTGCTTCAAGAGGCGTGGCTGTCGTTTTGTCGTTTCAAGAGCGCCTGCATAAGTCGTTTTAGTTCGGTCATTTCGGCCTTCAACTCAGTAATCTGCGGGTCTTGCTTTGCTTGACTCTCCGCTAAAGCCGGGGCTTGCTTTTCTTCAGTCGTCGCTGAAATGTCTTCACTCTTCGCTGGAACCGGGGTTTGCTTGTATTCACTCTTCACGGAGGCCTGAATGTTGCCGTTATGTGTTCTCGTTTCGGGGCCCGCGTTCGTCGTTTTTGTTGCCATGTGAGCACCCTCTTTTTGGTTCTCTGTGGTCTTATATGAGGTCCCCAGCCGAACTGTAGCATCCGTGCTTTTGTTATCTAGTATTTCATGGTGAGTCGGTGACATGTGCAACACGAAGGACACATAGCTTACCAGCTGGTGCAATCTGACCCATCCCGAGTTTATACATCGTAGCGAACAGGTCTCTTACTCTCTGCGGACATTTCGAACCCCAAGTTACATGCAATTTTTCGTCATCGGGCGCCTTGAACACCAGCACTGTCGCGTTGTTCTTCGGTTTCTTACCCGGATCATCCGTGGGTGCAATGGCGCAGAATCGAATCTTTTTGACTTCGACGTGCTTCAATATCTGTGTACTAGCCGGATCCACCTGATCTGCATACGGAATTTGTAAGGCTCCTTGGGTCTTTTGGTACTGCTCGACTTGGGCTTTCGTCGCTTGTCGTAGTCGGCATACGACAGGAAAGTTGCCCTCCGGGCTGATCTGAACCATCACTCTGAACCCTTCGTTCCCCCAATGCCGCCATCCACAGATCTTCCCGCCCAACGGAGTATAGTCGGGGCCGCTGTCCAACGTCACGTAGCCCCCAAAAATTGGATTCTGCTGTACCGTTTTATTCTCAGGAGTCGCCTGCTGGGGTCGCTCTGTTGCTGGTTGCTGGGATAACACCTTCTCGG